CACACACACACACCTCCCCCCTAAATTCCCCTGTCTAAGACGACATTTTTTTCTGGCTCCCTTGCGATTCCGTCTTACACAGGTTCGACTGTATTCATAAAATGTTATTCTCTTTGATGTGTAAATATAAGGTAACCCCTAACCTGCTCTCGCTCTCTCTCTCTCCCTCTGTCCCTTTCTCTCTCTCTACTCTCTCTTTCTCATACACACTCTTGTGTGTCAGTATCTTTCTTGTATAACACATGAGGCACAGAATCAAATATACACATACACACACTCATACATACACACAGAGTTGACGTAACGTTGAAAAGATAACCAATGAATGAGGAGGCAAAGAAAAACCTTCGTCTAAGGAGAAAGAAAGACTTAGGAGAGACGAATAAAGTACCAGTTACTCGCTTAAGTCTGAACATCAATTTGGAAAAACACAAGTCATGAGTGTCGATCCCCCTCGAAAAAAACATGAATCCTTTCTTGCATAGTGACAACTTCCTGGACTAAAACAGACCTGTTGATTTATTGGGCAAGTTTCGTTGAGAGACAGGGAGGAACAGATGCAGATGAGGAAGCAAGAATAGGAAAAAGCAAACGCAGCCTTCTTGCAGCAGAGGAATAACAGGAGCTCAAGGAGCAGTGAGCAGAGCCTTAAAAGCTGATTTTGGAAGACTTTGAACGACATGACGAAGCCAGATAAGATGGCCAAAGACAAAGACTTCAAAAGGGACCTTGTTTGTGGCCTGTGCCACTTTAGGGGTGATGAAAGCTGAAGATAATGAGAGAAAAAAAGAAAAAGAAAAGGTCACAGAGAGATGAAAGTATTGAAAGGACACCTCAAGGAAAAGGACACAGAGAGATGAAAAGACCAAGGAAGGAGAAAAAGATCATGGCTAAACAAAATAATATAATAAAAACAAAGATAATGTTCTAATGCAAAATGCCATCACCTATTCAATACCTATAGCTTTCAAACTGTAAATCACGTTGGGTTTTTTTTTCTCCTCTGTCGATATAACAATCATCTAATCTTGGAAAACACATGAACATCAAAGATTTCTAGATGTGGTGGTCCACAGCTGCCTCTGACATTCCAAACTTCCACTAAATACAGCTACTATAATCTACTGTTACTTCAAATGAAGCAGGACACGACACACACTACGGTCAAACCTAAAAAAAAAAAGCTCTGAAGAGTCCCAAGTACTAAAAGATCAAACATGAACGCAATCAAACTGAAGTCTAATCATGAGATTCAATCTGTATTATAATTCCTTGATAAGTTTTAAATGTATTATGATATAATAGAATTTCATGATGGTCAAAAAGGAACATAAATGGGAAAAGAAATAAAACATGTCTGGAAGCACAAATAAGACTAACTAATTTTAATTATCAATCATTCCCCAAACCCATGAACTCACTACAATAAACAAGGAAACTGATTAAATTTACGATTCTCAATTTTTGGTTAACTTTCAAGCCAACCACTATCAGCACAGGAGCAATATAGATGCGCTAGGGTGTTAATCTACATACACTTCGGCATGAATTTCAAGAACTGCAGCCAAAGTTATCCTTCAAACCTTGCTATACAAAGTAGCAAGAGTGCACTAAGCCCGCTGTGACCCACAACAGCTTCAAGTTCAAGCGACTAAATTCACCTAAACAAAAACTGACCTACAAGCTTCTACCAAATTAATAAACACAGAAAGGCATACTTATTATCTAGACTTCATTCACCATAACTAAATGAAAGCAAGTACTATACTGTAGTAACTAGCATGCACTGTTCGGCCTTTCACTAACAAAAAATAAGTGCAAAATCAGCCATAATAAAAATGATGCAAGAGAGAAAGCAATCATCTGATGAAACTTAACTTGCAAGAAACAGAAGAAATGTGGAGAAAAGAGGAGACAGGCAGCAATAAATGAACTTTTCTTTTGATGAACAGGCATCTTCACAGAGCAGGGTTACTATAAATGACATTTTGAAACCAGAATTAATTATGAGAAATGGCTCTGCATACTTACTGTGGGATCAAATTTTCTGAAGCTGTCCAGTCCAAGACCTGAAAGAAAATAAAGTTCACAGCTGAATAATAGCAAAAGGAAGCGTTGTATAAAATGAGCCTTAATTGAAGGGGTTAACTCTTAAGCAGATTAATTCTTCACGTACCGTGAGCCGGTAGGAGCGGCTCGACGTGAAGTGGGTTTGTGCGGGCGCGAGTACTAGATTTGATGGCTTGTTTCCCAACAGCTGGGTTTCTGTGTCTAATTTGTTTACGTTGGTTAGGGAGATTATCATGGCTGAAGATTGCTCCTGAAATAATTATAGTGACAGTTTTCTTGTTTGGATTATACCGCGTAAGTCTGAGTGAACCTGGGCTGCATTAAGTATACATCTATACACCAAATAAAAATGATTTCAATGAACAGTTTAAAAAAAAAATGCTATTGATCTTTCTTTCCTATCATTATTAATAGTCGGTATACCAATAAAAGAATGCAGTGGAACTCGGATTCAACGAGAACTCGGATTCAACGAGAGATGGATTCCCCGTTTTTTTCCTTCTTTAAAATCAATAACAATAACCCAGATTCAACGAACACTTAAATCAGCAAGCTCGGATTCAACGAGGTCGCTTTCAGGGTGAACAGCCCCTGCAGACGTGGCTTCACTCATTTTTCTCCCACAACGAACTTTATCTCTTCCCGAAAACCATTCATTGCACCTGCATTGTGAACCATTATTCACTTAGCCGACTGAATGCGACAAATCAGAGGCTTTCTTTCATACCAACACATGCGTTGTTGGTACGAGCATGTGTCTACTCTAGCACGTGTCGGAGTCGAATAGGCGGCCTGCCCATGTGTGACTGTGTGCGTGTTGGGGGGGCGCGGCACCAGCGGTCGGGGCGCGGCACCAGCGGTCCGGGCTGGAACGTCGCAGATACAAAAAAGTTGTCACAGTCTTTTTCCCCCCAGCAACTGATCAATATTACAATGATAAGCTAGTCTTGACATAGATCTACGAAATGAATTGTGCGCTGGTCTATGGAATAAAGTGACCGTACGATAGGCACTGCACTAAACAGCAACACAACTTTTTGGCAAACAATCGAGAGGCACTTGAATAGGTACCAGAAACTAAATTTTCAAAGTAACTGTATGCCAAATTTATCTGTTCCATTTGAAAGGCCTATATCCACTGAGCATTTTGGTACCATAGTTTAATCCCTCAGTCAATTTTTAAGAAAATGGTAGTTGTTTAAAATTTGATCAAATTTGTTAAAGTCAGTCACTGGCTGCAACCCCATGTTTGACAAATAATAAAAGAGTACCAAGTGCACTAAACATCTCCACATTAACAGAGTACAATCACTATAACAAATATATGCAGCCTTATTTTTTTCAAGACTGTGAGATCATTACAAATCAGTATTTTATCGCCTCAAACACGATGACCTGTCGTTATTTTGACAAAAACACCGAGCGTTGACCCAGTCGGCGCCGTACCGGCCCTCGCGGCGAGCGAGTCGGCTCTATACTGTAGTGTACCCCGCGTGGGGGGTCACATGCTTTCTGAGTCTCGCGGAAGGATTGATGCAAAATAATTCCAAGCTGATTACTTTATTTTAATAGAAAATAAACTGATCTTTTAAATGAAACCGTTTTTGAGCCGGTATTTTACATATTTAGTGTAAAAAAATGTTTTTAAAAATGTTGACGGTATTTTTAAAGACTTTCTATTTAAACGCTAAAGGCCAAAATTATACCACGGGACAGCCCGTTTAAAGCTTTACAGTTCTCTGCCAATGAAAAGACGGCATTTAATCATCCCTCGTTCCGCGAAGCATTTGAATGCACTCTTGTCAATTTTAGAACCGGCCGACCACACATTCTGACCTCGAGGGGCTTCACTTTCCTCGGTGATTCTCTAGCTCCTAATAATCGGACATATAAACAACTTACACCATTGTAACGAGGAAAAGTTTAACTTTTACAAGGTGTACGGCATTTGATGTTTTATAGCGAAAGCGCAAAGAAACAATGATCGGAATTACCCCGATTTCACCGATACCACGAGGTTGGAAGGCCGCAAGGACGTGTTTATGCTACCTAATTAGAACGAATTGGTCTTTTTTTTTTTTTGCACAGCTCATAATATGCAGGCATTTCTGGCACCACTAGTTACTTCTCTTTATACATTACTTGCTCAGTGCCTATAATTATCTACACAACCTCATATTTGCTATAACAAACACTCGGATTCAACGAGATATTAGGTCAGGCCCGGCGACCTCTTTGAATCTGAGTTCTACTGTATACATATCAATCCTGGGAAACACCTCAGCGAAAAGGTGCCTGCTAGTTTTTATACTTAAGTTTGAGATCAAGTACGGGCTTCAAAATATTGTCCTGAAGGCCTTAATTAGCCCACAGGCCATGAGTGTAAGGCCCTTGTTCTAACCAGCGTTAGGTAACAAATGACAGCTCCCACGTGGTGGGGTAGTTGGTAAGCTATTCTTTCACAAAGAACATCTTTTCATAGCATTTTAAAATGTTGTACTTGCATTTCTATAGACTTCCGGGCACACAGCTTTTGCGATCAGACTTACCCTCAGGTTGTTTCACGCCAGGCGTGATAGAACGGACGAAGTCCTCAGGAGTCATGTACACCTCCCAGTCCCCACCCTGAAGCACTTTCAGGGTAGCGAAATACCGAAAGATTTTATCAGGTGTGGAGTAAGCTCGAATCCTGTCTTCATAGCCGATGATCTGGGGGTTACAGACAACAAAAACGTACACAAAACAGAAAACAAAAGGAAACAGCACAAAATGGAACACACACTAACAGTAAGGAGAGAAGGTTTTTTCTGGTACAAATATGAAAAGGAAAGATGGTAGATCTAATATTTGTTATACTAGCATCTGCATTTGTTGCCATTTTTTTGTCCTAAAGTTGCCATAAAAATGGCAAAAGTTGCCATTAATTTTCAAGCTCTCAACTCTCTGTGACGACGTATATAGCAATATGTTGATAGAGGTAACTTAATCTGAAACACCAGAATTTCTTGTGCTCTGCTTTAAGCCTCCAGAATATAATTTGTAGTCACACAGAGTATAAAAACGTCAAAAAGAAAGGTTTCACAACAGAATGAAATCAAAGTTAGAACAGCAAATAAACAACCACAAAAATTAACAAATAAGAGCATGTGTCAACCCACCTATAGACTGGTCGTTTTAACCCTAAACGCGTGTAATTCAAGAAAAAATACAGGATATAGATGGAATCAGACACAATGGGCCTGCCAGTGTCAGTATTCGGTTTTGGTGGAGACACACTCTAACCTGCCCCCCCAGGAAATCGCGGTCTTGTGGCCGCGTTTTTCATCGAGTTCCGCAATAAACTCGCAATTCTTTGCCATTTTTGCAATTTCTTGCAATTTTAGGCAAAAATACATCAACGCATTAATTTTTAACTGAATTTTTAATATGAAATGGTGCGAATACAGAGCCGATAGGCCTACGTAAGATTATGATGGCTTCCGCCCAGCTCTAGTCTACTGGGCCTACTCTGAAAGCTATAACCGGAAATTCAGGCCGGTATACATCATGTGCAACACAAAGTGAGACATAGAGATCTATTGTGTGTAAGTGTAAGCGTGCGTGTGTTATAAAAAAGTAGGTGTGTGCATGTGTGCGCGCGTGTGAGGTGTACGTGTGTATGTGTGTGTGTGTGTGTAAGTGTGTGTGTGTGTGTGTGTGTGTGTGCGCACGCGCGTGAATATTGTTCGTACATGATGCATATGTCTACATGTCTAACATAACACATTAAAAAAAGAAAGATAGGAACAACATAAACACCAAAAAAAAAAAAAAACAATACATAAGAACAATAACAAGTTTTTAAAAATTAATACACCAACAAATCAAAACACATAAAGAGGGAAACAAGAAAAAGAAACAGCAATATAAATAGTATGTAATTACAGTAATGTAGCCTACTTATATTCTTCACATGAAAATTACAAATCAACGTGGTGTTAACAAGCGAGAAAGAGACGAAGTGAAGCGAAAGTGAAAATAAACTTTCTTTTTAAAAGTAAAAAGGTTGGGCTTCTTTTTCTTCACGAATATTATTCCCCGTTTTGTTTTTTTGTTGTTGTTTTTTTTTTAATTTATTTTTTCTTCCCGACGGTGGTTTTTTGCTGGAAAAATGCAGAAATCGCGGCCGCGAATCGCGCGACAAACGCAGATGCTAGGTTATAGACTTCATTAATACTACCAGCAGCAGAAAATGCATCAAATTAAAAATTTTTTTTTTTTTTAAATTTAATAAATAAAAGAAAAAGAAAAGAAATGAATTATAGAGCAAAAGCATAGCAAGCTCATGGCTCAGCCTATATTTTTCACTTTATGTTGACAGTACACACCTCCACTGACACAGTCACATGCAAAAACAAACAACAGCAAACCATAAAAGGTTTAACTCATTTCTAACTCTTACTCTCCACCAACATAATATAAGAGTTGCTGTTTTGAAATATCACTAGCATCTCAAAAGAATAGACTGAACCATTTTAAAAAAGCAAGCATCAAGTATGTCTGGACTGCCTCTTTTCTAACCTTCCTGACAAAGAACATAAAAGTGAGAACTTCTTTGAAATTAGGATTTTTTCAACTAAGAAATAGCCAATTAAATTTGACATGGAAATTAATGAAAGCTCAACACTTCACAACCCCCCCCCCCAAAAAAAAAAAAACCCCAAAAAAACAAACCCCCTACAAACAAAACCTTTCACAGTGGTATTTCCATAAGACATCAGCCATACCTTTCTATCCCTGAAACCAACTTTTTTCTTTTTCTTTTTCTCTCCTTCCTCATCTCCTTCCTCAGGCTCCTCACTAGATGACTCACTATCAGTGAGAGATGCAGACTTGACACTGAATGCATCCTTCAGTGAAACTTGTCCATCAAGCACAGCCAATCTGTTCAGACCAAATAACTGGTTTCAAAAACAGAGCTAAGAACACTCAGAATTCACCTGATAATATGCATTATATATCACATCATTCAGCAAGTATTTTGGATTTATTATAACGTATGAAACTTGGGATTTATTAAATGGTGGTTGCTGTTCTCATACATTTACTATACACTACAGTTATACTTCCTAAAAGCAAGTTACAACTAAAGGAACAACATGCAAAAGTCCACCACTGAATTTGAAGAATTTATAATATAGTCAATAACAATAATAACTGAACATTTCACTGTTGGAAGTCATCTGATTTGGTATCATTTACCGGTACTTACCCATTGAAAAGCCACATGAAGGCAAAAACCGATCCCAGGAAGATGCAATAAATAGTTGTGAGCCTTGAGCTTTTCTTTGGTTTGTGTGCAAAATTTGAGTACGAAGTAGTCCTCTTCCATCTTCTGATAGTCAATATATGAAGAACTGGTAATGGGTTTTGCTTTGTCAAAACAGCATGTTTAAAAGAAATCAAGCAACTTGAAGACCGTGATGGTACAATAAGATGCAACGGTTTGGCAGTAGACAGTGAGGAAGTGACAGGCTTTATTTTAAAACTTAGAACATTGTTGTTCCTTCTTCCAAGCAGGAGGGGCCACAGGCATCTTGAGTGTCTACCAACACACTGTCCAGCCATTTTATGGGCCCTGAAAGGATAGAAAAAACCCAAACAAACAACCATAAACTAATGACATAGAAGTCAGGTATTAAACCCTACAAGCTATTATCTGTGCTTGCGTACTACAAGAAAAGAAAAAATTCCCAAAGCCACTGATGTTAGAATTTCATTTTCAAAATCAGCTATTTTAATTTTAACATCTTGTTGCCCATACTGTTACCAACAAGCAAGATTAACAGTCCAGTTTTAAAGTAACTGTACTTTGTATACTATACAATAAAACCTTGATAACATAAAGTTCAAGGGTTTAAAGAATTTCCTTGTGCTAAGCAGAAAGAAAAAAAAAAAAGGGGGGGGGGGAGGCAACTCCATTCTTACTGTTCAAATACGATTTTTAACTAGATGTGTAGAGCTGCCATATTCAAAGGAGTTCAATAACGATTTTCCATGCTACTTTTTACAACTCAGTTTAAGAATCAAACCATAACAAAACAAGGCTTTTATGGGTATTGAGCTTACGAAGTTTTCAAAATTATATGATTATAATAAGCTACAGCACACTTTCGACTTCCAATCATGATAGTGATAGATAGGCAAAAGTGCTTTAACTCTACCTTAATCCTTAAGACTTGGACATACTCCTAGAAACTGATCAGGACAGCTGTGTTTCTTTCTCTTCTTCTTCTTCCTCCCCTCACCCCGTAACATTACAAACTGTTCTAGTACGATAACTTGCAGTTTGCAAAAATAGAAATTAGGCATTTTCATTTATCTTGGAAATGGATTGATGTGTCTCCTGCTCACCAAACGCCTACATCCGCACTAGTAAGTCTGAAATTATGCTACAAGTATACAGCTAATCGATATAATGGAAAACTCCAGCATTAGATGTTCACCCGACAAAAAGTGAAAGCACTTTGCCAAATTTGAGAACATCAAGCTGACATTGTTTCAATAGTCCAACAAGCATGACGTGCCATGTCTCTTCCTATCTGTGGGCAAGCTATCGTAAGTAAGCTATCTCAGGTCCCATCCTTGTGACAAGTGTTAAAAGTAGATAAAATAGTAAAGGAACTTTGCCTTAATTTCACATGCAACACTGGATGGTTGGGCAGGTTAAAAAAAGAGACAGCATCGTCAGCGTCACTCAAAAAGCTGTGTGCAGTGAATCTGCGACAAGTTATCGGTTGGTCCTTTATTTTTTTATTATAGGTCTGTCACTAAGGTATGTCCCTTGATTTTCTTCTAAATCTCTTTCATTTTTCCTATCATTTGTTAACCTGAATTCATTTATCAATCCTCAGTGTTTTGTGTTTGAATTATCCACGCCGACTTGAAGACAGGCTATTACTATTTATTAGCCTAAAAATTTTCTGGATAATCCGATTTTGGCCCCAACGATAACTATGGAGTATGAGTTTTGACCCCACCAATGATTACTTCTGGTTCAAAACGATTACTTTTCGCTGCACGTGCCAATACTAATCTTGCAAAACATCAATTTATGGTTAAAAATTCATGCCCTCTGAAACCCCCTTGGTTAACTCACTAACCCCCCACACTACATACACTAAATGTTCACTACAGAAACATCAGATATAAGTACAATCACATGCAAAATAAATGACAAAGAAATTTTTCTGACTTTTTTTTTTAGTAGAGGTTTTACGGCGCTCGCAACTGCATAAGGTCATATGAGCGCCAAGGGGTGGATGTCAACAGAGAAGTCCTTACAGGGAATCAGACTTACTCTGCTCACCTCTCTAGCTTCAACAGCACAAAGTCTGCTTCGACTATCAAGACACCTCGGAAATAGCAGGTCACAAAAGTGTGAAAAACATATAAAAGAAGTAGAGGAAAAATGATGATAGTAAGGATTAGGAAAGAAAAAGCAGCAGTTCCCTGTTGCAGTTCAGGCACAGTTAAGAGCCTGAAATTGATGAATTAGCCCATTTACAATTATAATTCTACTGTGCCTAAGAACTCGAGATGTTTATGTCCCCCCCTTTGGGAATGGCCTAAAGACACTTCAGTCAGTCGCCGTGGGGGGGGGGTTACGGCTTTTGTGTAATCATAGCTGCCACTCAGGAATTTCAAAAAAGGAGGATATTCATGCGAAGGCGGACGCGCGCTCTCCGAAGGCCAAAGTAAAACCAGTGAGATCCAGAGGCAATATACTGGAAAATCTAGCTTATGGTTTTGGAAGGGAAAACTGTCAAATTTGTTAACCATAGGCAACTGAATTAAAATGTATTGGAAAGAACCCCCCCCCAAAAAACAAAAAAAAACAAACCCAAAAGGCATTAAGTTGACAAACAAGCATTTGAGTCAATTTGACACAGTTTGTTGCCAGCTGGTGTCTTATAAAAAGATTTTTTTCACTTTAAACTTGTACATCGATGTAGAGCGCGCACAGTATTGGATCAAGGAGGCAACACCTTTGCCGCTGTACTGAGCACTCCTGTACAATTGCGGTCCCGTTCGCACTTAACTTGGTAGTGTCCCTGTAGTGTGTAGATCTAAACTGAATTAAAATTATAGCCCAGGCTATCTAATCTAGATCTAGATATCTAAATATGTGTAAATCTAGATTACATCTAGAGATAGATTATCTAGATCTAGATTCACTTCAACAGCCACAATAGCCGTCATGTAAACAAACGGGACCGCAATTGTACAAGAGTGCCGCGGGCAGCAATTTCTTTATCACACCAAACGCAAAGTGCAGCAAGCGGCTTGTTCAATTTACTAATGAACTTTTCAAGTTGCACACCGGCTGCTTCTTTCTCATTCCAGCTCCTTCTATTTTTGCATTCTGCATCAATTTCTCTCGAATTTCCGCCGTTTTCAATGACAACTCGGCGCGCCAACGTCCCGATGCCCGATCGACACTTTGTTGCTCCACAATAAACAAAGTGAAACTAACGCTAGGCCTAGAAGAACGGAAGAAGAAAGCTACGGACGGACATGCGTCATGCACAAGCTGCGTTTTCGTCTCTCTCCCGGTTCGATGTTTTCCGCGTGTAAAAAAAAGTATCGCAATTTGTGACCGAAAGCGGTCCAGGGGAGGAAGGAGGAAAGTAACGGGAAAAGCTGGATGAAGCGGAGTTACCGCTATTTAGCGGGAAAGTGGCAGCTATGGTAATGATCTTTAAAAAAATGGACACAATTTGACCATGAGCCAAGATCTAACGATATTTTTTTTTCTGTTTACATTGCGGGTCGAACTCTGGTACTAGATGTAGGGTTTGCCCGTCGGTTATCCTTTGCCATTGTCAGTACTTGTGCTTGGTCCCGTTTTTCACATTCTAAACGTTTATTCTGAGTTATTTCAATACTAAGTATGAACTGTGAAACTAAATCAGAGTTGCAGCTTTAGTTATCCTCACTAAAATCGTGGTTATTATCACTAAAAATCTCAAAATTGAGTGTGTTTGTTTCGACATTGTAACGAACGCCGACTCCATGACCGCAGTGGTGGATGGAAAACATTGCGCATAGCAGCCAACTTTTCAAAACTCAAAATCAGACTCTTTCCTTCGGCCAGGGCCCAGGGGCCGCCTTAAGCCATGGCGGGGTCCAGGGGCAGTGCCCTGGTGGGGGTCCAGACGGGCCGAAAACAACTTTTTACACTTTTACAATGGAATTTTAGCCTCTCCTGGGCTTAAATTTTACCATCTCATTTGCAAAGCAACCCAGAAAAATAGGGGTAGAAAGGAAGGAGAGAGAGAGAGAGAGAACTTAAGTTATTACAGTCCATGCCAGCTTTAAGCACAGCCATCAGAAGAAAGCATAGGCATGCTTAATGCCGAAGCGTGCTTGAGTGCGAAGTAGACATTGTTCATAATCCAGAGATTTTTATATTGAAAATTTCCTGAGTTATTACCTTTTGTTCGTAAGTAGTGGTCACGCAAAAGTGTGTGCTGTCATTTTTACCCGCAATGGTAATTTTTGTTTGTTTCTTTCGTATTGTGGTCGAATGGGAAAGGAAAACTTATTTTGGACAACCAATCACAATATAGCACACTAGGCCTACACACTGCCTGTGCATACCACTGCCCACTGTGCCACATTCATACCACCGCCTTCATCCCACCTTGCGCGTGATACATAATCAGGATTTACGAATAGTGAGGGGCAAAGGTGAAATCGCAGCCAGCCTCCCTTTCTCGTCACTCCGACTTTCTTTTGTATTTTTTTCGTCTATGTGTAGCTTTGCAATAGGCTAGATCTTATGTCCACGCGCGTGGCTGTGTGTATCTCTCTGCCTTCCTCTCCACACGCGCGCGTGTGTCCATCAATTGCATTTTTTTGTGTTTCACTTAACACACTCACTGCTGCGGTGTAGACTGTGTTCGAACTTCGCTGGGTCAACATGAAAGTATTGACTGTCTTGTAAATGAAGCGTGCCTAAAGTCGAAGTTGCTGTGCTTAAAGGCATGTCATTTACACAGCAAAAATTGGGTAAGAGCCGTTTAGCGTGCTTGAGTTCGAAACGTGCTTTATGCTGGCGTGCTTAAAGCTGGAATGGACTGTACTGGGAACTTATGCTTTGAGCCATAGCCAACAACAATAATTGTGTGTTTAGAAAGAGGGAAAAGGTAGAAGAGAAATAGAGAAAGCTCAGAGAGGCGCAGAAGGGAGTGAGATAAGGGAAAGAAAAGAGATAAAGAGAGAAATAATATTTTACATTTATCTTACCATGGCAAGACAGCAGATTATTGTTTGTTTACAGCCTCTTTTGTGGCAGCTTTCCGAAATTTAAAATGGATGGTTTATTTCTCTTTATGTTACTGTCAGCCTCTATATCTCTTTTATGGATGTTTGTTTTAGTATGATGCAGAATCTCAAAACGTCCACCATGTGAAATGGAAATGTCACGTCAGCAGTGCTTGCAAAAGGCAAATTTGTTAGATGCTTTAGAATGTGAGATGAACGGAAACCCATCCACATATTTGTCACAAAAAGTCTGCTCTCTGTTTTTTTAGGCTGCTTTGCATTATCCATTGTGAAACAGTAATTCTAGATTCGGTATTAGTATACATCATGTCCGGTGTTGATATTTACTAACAACAATAAGGACGAAGTGGGCGCTATCAACACAAAATATTCATTCATTTCCCATGAGGACCTGAGTACCAAAGTTAAGTACTTTTGGGCTCATCAGCAAATTAAAATTGAGGAACACTTTTATTCCCGAAACAAACTCTCGGAGTGCAATTACAAAAGCGCGAAATAGTATTTCTCAATGCGATATCGTAACATCGTACCACAAGGATGTTGGAATCGTACTAAATACGATTTTATCATACTGGTTGGCAGCTATGAATTGCGGATCGGTCAATGTGAGCTTCCAAAATCATCTGCTACTCAAAAACTACTAGCCTACTCGGAAACAAGATCCGAAACGAAATTTTGATCAGCAGCAAGTATATGATACTTGGTGTAGCGTTTCCCACAACTTACGCAGTGAATCAGAAGCTCTGTCATGTTTTAATACTGATCCCAGTGAGATCGGACACATGCGGTCGGCCAGGCTTCCTGCAACAGGTGAGCGAAAAAACTAAAAGAGTAAGTGAGTTAAAAACAAGTGAAATATCACTGCTCATTTTGTACTGAAAAATGGCAGCGCATTCCTCATTCCCTTTCAGTAAAACATGGATACTGAGTATTTACATCAGTATTGATATTCTAGTACTCTTGGGGCCAAAACCAGAGAATTCCTAAATTCTATGAACAGAGCCTGCCATATGATTAATTTGCAACTTATCTCTGTCCTCTGTTATATAGATGATATGATGGCATGCAATACACTAAATCTGGGGCTTCAGAATTTTTGTTTGTAGGAGACATGAGAAGAATCTCAAGTTCAAGTAGCATCAGACATGATCAGACTCAGTCAATCAACAGAACCCTTTCACTTTGGAAGTGGCTATTCTAACCAGGAGTGAAGGCCATTTCACACATGAACAGCAGACAACAGTGAAAAAAAAAAGGAGCTATACTAGATCTAGATCTATGTTTTAAGCAAGAAGACATGTCAAGAGCCGAACGCACCACTGATACCTACCGGTCCTCACAATCGTAGCCTAATATTAACTCACTCACTGCCATGCCCGAACCCTGTCGGGTGATCCGCGTAGACCGCTGCCTGCCAAACCCGCAACCCGTCGGGTGCGTTTTTACTACTATTTTTCAAACATTCCCCAACGCATTTCGGGCTTGGCAGTCGGATGTAGGCGACGTAAGCCAGTTTAGTTTCGATTCCACATTGTTGCAGTAACTTCCCTTGAATAAGTTACTTAAAAATCTGACTTTTTCGAACTCACCCGAAACGAACTAAAAACTACTAATTTAACTAACGCTCAGTTACGATGGCGACGGCGTCTCAACGAGGTCGGGACATTTGAATTGATGGACCCATTCGTCAATAAAGGGTCAGATTTAGATCTTTTTGCTTGATAGTGATGTTGAACCATCATACAGAGTTGATAATGAGTATAGGAAAGGAAATAGGAGAGGTGCGGACTCAAGTGAAGATGAAAAGTGTGCTAGATCTAGGCCTAGATCTAGAATCGGGTGTTCCCCATGCTCAGACCTATGATCCGATGCTTCCCGGTCCCATCACGCAAACGTCAAAGATCACACAACAAAGATTTAGACCCCAAATGATAGGAATACAGCTGACATAGACCCTCCTATGTCTACACAACAAACTTCAAATAGTGGCACCCCTCCCCCAGTGGCCATGCCCCGTCCTGCAACCACATACCCAGATGTTGATGCTAAGGATGGGTGGACTGATGACTTAAATGATATTCCAGTTAGATCTATATAAAATTTGTCAGATATCTTTTCAAAGTGACTCTTCAGTCTTCAACATTTGCCAGTTGAAACAAAATCTATTTCTTGCAGAGATAAAGATATAAAGGCATGCATATCGACTGAATGTACCAAGCACCTAAATGTTATGTAAACAAATTTTTTTCTCGATTTCGCCACATATTCACAAACTCATAAAATTTCACACGGTAAAGGTATCACAACATTTTTTATTATTTGTTGAGTAGATCTAGAATATAGATCTAGATCTAGATCTAGTCTAGACTAGACGATACTATCTAGATCTATATCTATATCTAGATCTATATCTAGAGTCTAGATCTAGATCTAGATTCTAGATCTAGATCTAGATTCTCTATGTTTCAATGTTATTGTTTGTGGAAAAGTTCAATCATAAATCAATGCTGTACACAAAATAATAAGCTTTTGTACTTTTCACCACGTACTTAATTTGAAGACTTAAGGATAAATCATGCCAAGCCGCATTCACAATCAGCAATTGTGTAATGATGGATAAGAACGATAGCCTGTGGACGAAGGCGAACGCCTTGCAGTTTTCGTTGTAAGTTGGCAATGTTTATGTCAACAATCTACTGAGACAAGTGAGAGCAAAACAAGTTTTGACCCTCTACTTCCGCCTTTAACCGGAACACTTATAGTGTTAATGCTGTTTTGCGCGAGGTAATCAAATTTCATTCTGACACCGGAAGTGAAAGTTACATTATTCCGCAAAGAATACTTTAAGGGTTTAAAGTTGGAAACACCGCGGAATTGTCATGCTCTGCAAGACTTGGGCATAGTGCCAGCGTCGAATTTAGCTTCTAATGTCATTTCCGTATGTGGCAACCAATGACAAGCCAGGCAGGGCATATTCCCGCAAAAATTGGTGATCGTTCCCTGGGAAGGCGGGTGTTTTACTCAGTTTGGCGCAATTTCTCCAGCCTGTACGGACGTAGGACTCCTGTCCAGATAAAGACAGATCCTTGACTTTCCTTTTTTCAACGCGAATTTTAACTAACACCTTCATCATGTTTGAAGCCAGACTTGTCCAGGGATCTATGTTGAAAAAGATCATGGAGTCGATAAAAGATCTCCTGACAGAAGCAATTTTTGATTGTTCCAGCACTGGCATTACTTTGCAGGCAATGGACAGTTCTCACGTCAGTCTTGTCGCTATGAGTATGAAGTCCGATGGGTTCGACACCTACCGGTGTGACAGAAACCTGTCAATGGGAATCCACTTACCAAGGTAAGAAATTTAAAAAATAAAATATTCAACCCATTCTACGTTCACGCTCGGCGCCCTTAGTGCAGTTTGCAGGCAGGCGCTGTTGAGGCTACTTTCACGGCACTCAAGTTCAAGCTTCATTTAATCTAGAAATCTAGATCTAATCTAGATCTAGATCTAGATTTTAGAGATGTAGATCTAGATTCTAGATATATCTAGATCTAGACTAGATGTAGATCTAGATTAGAAGCAATGCCCACCGAGCGCGTTTTGTTCTGCCGATTTTTGGCCCCCGTAGCGGGGGTGTTTCGTGGGACGCACTAACGCAAAGGTTGTTGTCTTCAACTCGCTCTCATGCCGTTTCTAGTGAATGGATGAATGAAGCTTGGTAGCCAATCAGAAAAGAGGTCAATCTCGTAGTAGGGTAGGTTGGGGCAAATTCGACCATCGGGCAACTTCGACAGCCTCAACCAAGACCTGGCTTTTGAGAAGAAAGTGGCTATGCTATTCTCACCCGCCCGGAAGTTCTCGCAGGATCAACTCCTCCCCTCTTCTCTCTCTCTCTGTCTCTTTCTGAATACTGTCTATCGGTGTGGACGATCAAATTGACCAAAACAAAGTTAAAAAATGATGTTAAAGCGCAAAAGTAAATTAATTTGGTTGTCTACAAAGATGCTACGGCTATTTAACTTTTCGAATCGAGCCGAACTACGCGGGTCGCCATTTTGTTTTGCCCGGAAATTCTCGCGCTACACCTCTCTCTTTCTCTCTCTCTCTCCACTGCCCACAGACAAAATTGTGCGCTTTTAGTAGGCTACAGTTGTAATGGAACGTTTGTTCACGGCACAGAATTCTACAATTTTTCTGTTATCACACTGTAGAATTCTGTGGTTTAGGTTAGGGTGAACGCAAAATTTGGTGAACGAGCACCGGGTGAGAATAGCCACAAGACTCGCCTGCACTATTCTCACTCCGGGTGAGAATAGAGGTGGCCTTTGAGTTTGAGAATCATTTGACTCCTGTGTCGTGGAATTATCGAAGCCCACTTTTATTCGTTGGGTGATCTTATACTTTAGCACGTTAAATTCTTCAATTGATTTTATTCGGGCTCTAGATCTAGTCTAGAGTAATCGTACCGGTTCGGGCAGCACGTTTTTTTTTTTTTTGCTGTCCGGCACTGGAGTACAAAAAGATCGTTTTCAAATCTAGGGCTGGATTGTACTTTACCGGACCACCCGTCTCGGCCCGTGATTACTACGCACGCCTAGCATAGTACTCTGCGTGCGGACAAAAGGTAGTTCTGCGGGCGACTTCGCGAAGTCAGCGGCGACTGGCAAGGCGAGGTGAGCGAGAGGTGGTGGTTGAGAGTGGGCAGGGGATTTAAGTTAACTTTAGTCTAGTGGACCACCGTGTATCATACCAACAGTGGGGTGGGGGGTTCAGGGGGGCTTGCCCCCCTGGAAACTATAATAAAGAAAACACACAAAAATGCGAAACAAAAACATGAGCGGACAGTCGTGTTTACATATCAATGGGGGGGTTTCAGGGGGGCTAGCCTCCCTGGCAACAATAATTTAAAGACACTCACACACATATATAAACAATAGCATGATAAGTTGCGAGCAGGGCCGATGGGATTGCAATTATGCAAATGAGCTCTCGTGCGCATCTCTAGCCCTCCATTGTACTTTGCCGGACCAGGAGTAGTCCTAGGCCAAGCCAGCAGAGTTGCGAGCAAATAAGAATAGTGGACCACGTGATTAGATTGACCAATTAGCCTCAAGGTGTCAGGGTCAAAGGGCACAGTGGCACGGTCGTGATGACTGAAAAACCCGGTAAGAGACGTCAGTCGATTGCTGGCAGTTGAACAGTGAGGATGTAGAAAACTGAGTAGGGGAGCTCGGAAACGAAGAACAGCGGGCCACTAGGCACTAGGGGCGCCACAGCGAAAGTAGTTCCGACCGGTGGTCCGGTAAAGTACAATCTTACCAAATCTAGCCCCAAAAGAGTGGCACACAAACATAAAGCAACCTCCCTTACTTTCGTTGAAACAACAGTTACAGTTACGGCGATATTTTGCTAAAAATAGTCCTTAAGACCGCTTTTTCGGTAGATTCTAGTTCCCACCCCCCTTATTTGAGCCTGACCTACATCTAGATTCTATCTATACGTTTGATTCGCGGTGAGCTAAGATATCAAACCTAACAACAGCAAAACATTAAATTGTGGTAGAATTCAGGGGGGCATGTCCCCCTGAAACCCCCCTTCCTATTTTTGTTAGTGCCCCCCTGAAACCCCCCTACTCTTGGGGCCAAAACCTGTGAATAACAATTGCGGGGTGGGAACTATCGAAAAAGCGCCGCTTTTTCTTCATCAACTGAGCAAAACAGCGTGAAGCTCTTTCCCCGGAAGAGTTAACATTGGTTGTGGATGGAGCTGTGACCTAGATAATCTAGATTTTACGTTTTGGTAGACTCTGAAGGCTGGAGAGTTATTTGCATATGAGGCCCTGTCAAGGATGAAATGAAAGAATTTGTCGTTTAGTCTCGTCGTTTTTGCCCAAAGTGGGGGTGCCCGGATTGTAACATAAAATCCGTAGTTTCTCATCCTTCGGGCACATAAGATAATATAGAGCCAATGGTTATATAACAAAGAATAAAAAATTTGTGCATAATTTAAATAATAGTAGAGTCAGATACAGCATATTAACCCTGGAAGCGCGCAGGCCCTATATAAAGGGCGTGAGCCGGGCTACCCGGGAAGCGCGCACGCCCTATATATAGGGCTGACCTACTTCGACCGGGAAGCGCGCAGGCCCTATATAAAGGGCAAAGACGCTGACCCTTTTCTATGGAAAATGACGTAGTCAATTACAGGCCAAAGTTATAAATAGTGACCAATGACTTTGCAAGTTATCTTGACCTCGTAGAGCGTCTCTTGGCCGAGATATCGATCGATAAAGTGACGCGGTCCCGCTGAGCGACTACACGCTATGTGTTATCACTTGTTTCGCCGTGCTGATGTACTAATTGTTGAGTCTATCGCGTTCTCGGCATTGTTTGTATTTATTTGATCGCTGATCATTTTTGAATGGCTCATTCTATCAGCTTAAAGAAAATATATGCTTTTATATGCTTTTTATCATCCGTTGAGCCGTAAATGGTAATTTTTCAGTAGCAGGTATACATTTCGGGTATCTCAGCTGTTTCTCCCCCCCCCCCCCAAACCCCCATGTTTACAACTGATCGGCCGTGGCGGTGGGGCATTTTTGACGGGTTACTTCCGGTGAAACGCTGAGCGCTTCTAGGGTTAAGCTTGCAAAGAAACAAATGTGATAATAATTGAATATGACCGAATGTCAAAATACTGCCCGAATCCATGAGAAAACCCAAAAAAATGTGACTGAACACGTAAATAAATCGGGCGTCACTTTTGCACCCAGTAAGGGTAAGGGCCTCAAATATGAGAACAAGCTGAAACAGGTCATTCATGGGGTCATCCAATCACAGGGCTTCCTGTAGCTGGTTTCGGTTTGGAAAGTGGCTATTCTCATCCGGGGTGAGAATAGAAAAACGATCTACCTCTCACCCCGGGTCAATGCTCTGTGTTTTTGTCTAAATAACGACAGATCATCGTGTTTGAGGCGATAAACTACTGATTTGTAATGATCTCAAGTCTTGAAAAAAATTAGGTTCCATATATTTGTTATAGTGATTGTACTCTGGTCTGTTAATGTGGAGATGTTTAGTGCACTTTGTACTCTTTTATTGTCGGTCAAACATGGGGTTGCAGCCAATGACAAATTTCATCAAATTTTAAACAACTACCATTTTCTTAAAAATTGACTTAAAGGTTAAAGAATGGTACCAAAATGCTCAGTAGCTATAGGCCTTTCAAATGGAACAGATAAATTTGGCTTACAGCTACTTTGGAAATTTAGTTTCTGGTACCTACTCATGTAATGTATGCTCTTTTTTAAAATATAATTTTATGCCTGTGTAACTAGATCTAGACTAGATGTGCTCATATTCATATTTTGTTTTATTTTCAGTCTGTCCAAAATAATGAGATGCGCTGGAAATGATGACATCATAACAATGAAGGCTGCTGATGAAGCTGACACCGTGTCCCTGGTTTTTGAGGCTCCAAGTAAATATTTAATGTGTAACAGATCATTCGGTTTGCTGCCTCCGGCTTGTGAAGGACATTTAGTGTAGCATGTGTACACTTATTTTATTTTCAGTGTGTAATACGAGCCTAACTAAATGTACAAAATATGTTATTATTGGTTCCGGAGAATGAAAAGAAGGGTTCTGACTGATTATGAAATGCATAACATTTTGTTTTGAGAGCAAGTGTAGTAATTGATGGTCTTTAATACTTGTCGGTGCTACTTAACTCTTATCCTGCGTCTGTGCCCAGATGCGTATCTTATCAGCAACCGCTTACGTCGGGCAGGCCGCCGGGAAACGTGTGTTTTCGTCATAGATACCGCGGGAGTGTGTTAACCGATGATGAAAATAACGCGTTATAATAGAAAGCTATTCCCAAACGGGACTCACATTCTTAAGTAGTACCTACTTGTCCATGTGTTGAATTCTCTAGTGTGACTATTTTGAAATCTTTAGTTCACTGCATAAAAATTCACTATATTCGAGTATGTGTCGAATATCATGACACAAGAGTGCACAATTTTGAGCCTTTGTAGGTTGCTCTAGTAAATGAGGGATGGCCTATAGTTACACAGATAATGTGCTCTTTCTGGGAGTTTGGAGTTATAATTATTGGATTTTGTAATGATTTTTTGTTTCTAGAATCTCACCTGATTTGGTACTGTTTGAATGGGAGTAGGACATTACATGAGTGCATGCAGGATGAGAATGTCAAAGATGTTTTTTTCTGCCTTTTCCCCCCTCAGATCAAGAGAAAGTGTCAGACTATGAAATGAAGTTGATTGACTTGGATACTGAGCATCTTGGAATTCCAGTAAGTGGCCTTTTCTGTTGGCTTTTATTAGCATTTTGTATTAGATCTTGTATGAGTACTCACAAGAACTTTTTGTATTGAGAAAAACAAATTTTTAGTCACATCATGAACTGCAGCTATATCGGGTGTCTAAAAAAGAAGATTCATTTGAAGGGCAATAACTATCATCTTTAGACCAATTTCATCAAAACTTGGAATAGGTTCAATGGGGAGGGGGTCACTTTTGTCAATATGAAGAAAATTAATATTCGAACAATATCAAGGTTTTAAAAATTTCAGTCAAAATATATTGGGGGGGGGGGTATGGGAAAATTGAGTTTAACCCCTTCAATGCTAAATAGGCTCCTGTGCCTGGGGAAATCCCATTAACCAAGGCTGCTCAGGGGTGATCCCGCTCTACATCCCATAACTTTTTTATTTATAAATATTTCCTCATGAATTTCTGCATGTACAGTCAACATTGAACCAGTTTTCTGTTGATATAATTTTTGGGGAATTTCAGTGAGAGATAGATGGAGAAAAGTTGGAATTACTAACCTGATGCCAAAAACACCACCACCAGATAACATAAACAACACACGTTCGAATAATGATAAACTGAGATTTAAGGGGGCGGATACATGTTGTGTGAGTGTTAACAGGTAAAGAAGTGACAAGCTGTTTTTCCTACCTTATACAACGCTCGTACAATCCATATATATACATGTAAGCCCATCTGTGTGTTAGATCTACAGAGATGCCAACCAGTATGATTTTTTTCCAAAAATACGCGAATACGACTTCATGAAAAAATACGCATCCTGGAATGCGAAAAATAGGAGATTCGGCTTGGGCGAGTAAAACTTAATTATCTCAAGTTCTATCTTTTGTCAAAATAGTATCAGTATAGCAGAACTGGAATATTTGAAAAGCAAGTCCGATGTGGTCAGTGGGTTCATTTTTGCCGGTCGCGATTGTGATGTTATATTCGTTCAGCTTTTCCCCGTCCGGAGAGTACGTTTCTTTTTCACGAGAATAGGCAGCTATGGCGGCAGGCGGAAGCGTATGTGACACCCAAGCTCAATCAGGAAAATCAAGATCTGCTTTCGTTACCACCGAGAAGTTTGCCAGCAATTGTTTGATAATGAAACATTTGTGGCATGCAGGTTTTGCAGTAGTATAAATGCAATGTCGCCGTGCAAATAAAATATATATTGTAATAAATATTCAGACTCGTCGCAGTGCTGTCACTTGTGGAAGAAAAGAAAATAAAAGCGTCGTCCGATTTTTAGATTGTCTGGCTCGCCATCGTGACCGGTCACTGAACCTGCGCGCAATCGCATCACAAATAAATGCGGCATCGTGTGAGGAAAGACCGTCTTTGGCGGGAGTAACGGCGTTGCAAAGTATATGACTACGGAATAGGGGAGGAGATTATTGATATTTTTTGGGTTTAAGATACTATCGGGGGGGGTGCGGAATCGGGACCCCTCATACTTTGCAAGTCTGTGTTATTGAAATAGTTTCATTGGATGGGTGATAGTAAATTATACCTAGAGTGTATGTTGTAGCTTTTTGTTCAAGACTGGCAGATTTTCAGTGTCACTGCATCTTGCCCTACCACAGTTGTTACAACTCTCACAATGCATGGGTCTACTTGAACCATTCAAGTTATTGCTTTTCTCGGAGTTTGAGAAATAATTTGAGTCTGTCAGTTCATAATATGAATCATGATACCCAGACTGGTTCTTGATAATTGAAATTCTTGTTCTAGGCCCTTCCAAACTGTCAAAGCAGGATTTATTTTATATATATATAATGAGAGGAAAATATATAATAGACTGAAATACTTAAGTCAAACAAGACCCTAGTACGACATTGAACACTGACATGTTGTTGACTGGATACATTTGTACGCGTGTGCTCCCTTTTTCGGGCTGGTGAGCTAGTAAATTTTTTTCAGGAAATATTGCTGGACACCGTGAACATTTTATTATTACTGGTTGGTCGGTCGGTCATGGGGAATACACATTTTCATATTTCCCAATACTCATTTCGGTTTTCTGTGGTTGACATCTCTGGATCTAGACCTAATCTTCTCTTTGACCTAAAATCTGAATCTGACGCTTGGAAATGGAGGTAAACTTAAAGGGAATGTACCCCAATAATGATTACAAGATTTTAGCAGTAACTTCCCTTATATTTGGTTTAAAACAAACACTGTCAGTCTTGTACCTTCTACGAGCGAGGGGGTTAAAGTGTATGTGCTCCGAATAATTAACCTTTTTATTGCCTTTTCAGTACTTAAATTATTTTTTAAAATTAACTCCACAGGAGACAGAATACAGCTGTATTGTGAAGTTGCCAAGTGCTGAGTTTCAGAGAATTTGCAGAGATCTCAGTCAGCTGGGAGATTCAGTTGTCATCGCTTGCACCAAAGAGGGTGTCAAGTTTTCGGCAAGTGGAGAACTGGGCACTGGTGAGATTAATTTCCCAGACTGGTTTTTAATTGTGGATAGTAACTAACACTCAGATATCCATAAGTACTGTCAAGCCCTGTTATGTCTTCCTTTGGGTCAGCATGAAGTGAAACAAGATTTAAATGTTCTTTGTTAGCACCGACTGCTGTCTTGCCTAATGGTAGACTGGGAGAGACTAGAAAGAGGCTGGTCTGTCTTGTCTAATCTAGATGCCTTGTGCAATTGCCATGCGCAGGGGAAAAACAAGCAACGAACTACATGCAGCTCCAGCTGAAAATTGCAAAAGTTCAAATTGAAGATTTCTGCCAGATCAGATGCTAGGTTTTGTGTGTAAGTTGTAAAGGATCCTGGAGATGTAGGGAGTTTTTTTCCCCTTGCCGTCTTCAGAGCTGTCGGGTAGACTTGAGCATGAATGAGTCCTCACAATATGAAAACCTTGCGGGTGCACCCCAGCCTTTGGGTGATTGGGTTATCTGGCGATGCCAGAAACTTGGCTGGCTGGCTGGACCAAGATGGCGCGGTTCCATTTTAATTTGTATTTGTAATCAATTTTTATTTGCTGGGAAATTTGTAACTTATCTGAATTTACTGGGGTTCTGGAGGCTTTGAGTTTTAGGAAGGATGGGGCGGGGGTTGCATGGGTCGTGGCAGGGTTGACAGTTCTTCATACTGTTTCTCACTAAAAGTGAAATTACATTCGCACTGTTTGAGTCAAGTAGATTGCTTTTCTCTTACTTTTTCTAGGCATGAATTGTGTAGTTTTTTTTAACTTTGTGATAGATGAAATATAATTTTTTGAGGCATTTTTGTAAAGTCTACCCTTATTTTTTTCTCCAGGGAACATTAAACTATCTCAGAATGCAAGCACGGACAAAGAAGAAGAAGCTGTTGTTGTTGATATGAATGAGGCCGTCTGCTTGACTTTCGCCCTGCGTTATCTCAACTTTTTCACAAAGGCCACTCCACTCTCTCCGCAAGTTACCCTCTCAATGTCACAAGATGTACCATTGGGTAAGTTCATGTTTATAAATGAATTATAAGATTTTTCTTCTGCGTGCTTAGGAGATAGTCACCCGGTGCTGTCAGTCTAGCTGTCCTTTCCTGCTGGTCTGAGAGAGAAAAATAAAGAGAAAATTTTTCAAATCTCTGCTCTTGGATCTCCCCTCGTGTTTTTTTGTTTTTTACCACTCACAAATTTAGCGTGCTTCTCGATGCAATGTGACGTTGGTAGGAATGTTTTCTGTATGATTTCATCGTTTATGGTCGAAATTGTCTGAGACAGCTTCCCATTATCGAGGAAAACATTTTTTGTCTCAGATGAAACTGGTGTTGTGGTTAGGTGCTTTGCTGTCTCATACATGAGACCTGTGGGTGGGGAGAAAAATTTGTTCAAGCATCTGTCTTTTCTGATTGAATGTTGTATCCTTCTGTAGGGGGTTTACAGTGGGTATCGCATTCAACGATGTTGCCGGGACCGGCTTGTTGTCCTCATTGGATCTGACCTCTCGTTGAACGTGACTACGGCTAAAGAAAAGAAGGGAGACAAGTTATTATATTACGCGGTGTAGCGATATCAATATAATTAAAAGTTGTTCCCGTGGGTGGTTGGCGGGTGCTCCGGTGTGGTTTGCTGGTTCTTCTTTCCTATCTGGCGCACTTTTTGTGCCAATTTCCTCCATTTTATCATTCACTCATTCCGTCTATCTTTGGGTTGTTGCCGCGGCTAGACAATCTGCGTGTTGATCAAGTAAATTGACTTGTGATCTTAGACAGAAAATTAGTCAGAAAGAATTTTTTTTTTTTTCAAATTTGTCTAGATCTAGAGAAATGATCAGTGCGAGGATTCTACGGAACGAGAACGCTCGATAAGGGCCGCAATGAAATAAATTTATGCTAAAACTACTAAAAAATCAATAATCATTCGAAGTGGTGTTCCGAGGTTGCGACATTCAGACGTGAAATTTAAGGAAAATTAGAGTATGCGCCGGGTAACTATTGGGAAGGTACATATCTATTCATTATTCCCAGGTTTGCCTTCTATCAATGGTGCGATGGCAAATTAATTGAATTATAGTAGCAATGCCTGCTTTTAAACATTGCCATCAATGGAAACATATTGTGTGGATTTTGGTGAAGAAATCAAACACGGCAATGTTGGTGAAAAATTAAATGTTATGGTTTGTGGGCAATCTCTTCAGACAGCTCCTAAGTGCCATTTTCAACCCTCTAAAAGCACTAAATTTCAATTTCTTTTGGGCTCCGACCCCTTAATGAAGGTAGATTGTTCTGATATGCTGTTCTACTGCAAGCATATGCTCCACTTTTTTATTTGTGCAGATGAATATGGTACCCGTGTGTGACAAGTTACAAGACTGCTTTGGTGATGAATGCTGATAGAGATAGTACCGTAATGTTTTCCTTTATTTCCTTCCAGTGGTGGAGTACAAGATTGCTGACATGGGATACCTCAGATTCTACCTTGCCCCCAAGATTGAGGATCAAGAACAGCAAGAATAAGTGTCTGTTCCAGTCGTTGCTATACATTTTGCTTATTTCTATTCATCATGGTATCAATACACGAGGTTCATATTTTTGACCATTCTTTGTATTGTGGATACTTTATATAGTATGAGTATGAGAATCACTGTAAATAAACTCTTCATGTCATCTTGCAATTTTTGGCTTTTTGAGACTTTTTACTCATTGGTGTGTGTGTTTTTTTCCACGACTGCACTCCTAGGGCACTGGCAAACAACTTTATTTTATGGAATTTTGCCCATGGCCGATAAGAGGAATTAAAAATTTAATGGCATAAATTTTTGGGGGGAGAAGACAGATGGTTGATTGAAATTGCAGTCACAAATTAGCTGTGAACGGCAGTCGGCTTGAAATGGCCTTTGAGTTTCTAAACCACTTCATTGGCAATAGAAACCACTATGTACAGTGGTGATGAAACTAACAGTGATGAGGGTCTCATCTGCCATTTGAGAGTATATTTAGTGCTGGGGGGCCGCTCTTGTGGCTGAATAATGACACGTCAAATCCCCACCAAACTGAGTGACACTGGCATAGCTATACCTTCATGGTCAGGTCAGGAGGTTAAGGTGTTTACCTCTGATTCAAAGGTCCCAGGTTCAAATCCAGATAGCAACCGAAACATTTTCTTCTCTGTCTTGTCTTCTTTCACCTCTTGCAATGTTCTTTCGTCTCCACTTTCTGCCTCCTCTGAGCTCCTGATTCTTTCTGCAGCCTTTCTACTGCTACTCTTGGCTCCTTACTGCTGTCTTTCAGCCACACCCCTGATCTTCTGGTTGGAAAGGTCTATACTGTATTGCCCTTCTCGAACAAGAGCGAAAAATTTCGGAGGTCCCGTGTGCAAGTTGCGCATGTTAAAAAAATTCCTTGTTCTAAAATCGAAGCGTAGGCTTCAGCCGCCACCTGGGCAAAATTCAAAATTTCCTACGAACTGAAAATGTTTAATGTGTCCAGCGCACTCATTTGACCTTGCAGTTGCTTGAAACACAAATATGTACACGATCAACCCGTTTACTGTGGTTCACCTAGGCCCAATTCACCTTCAATGGTAGCTACATGTATTATTTTGCTTTTTCCTGCTGTCTGTATAGGCTTTTCTTTATGTTTGGATCCATTACACGTTATATATACATATATAGTAGTAGCCTAGCAAGCATGTCTGAATGCCTGCTGTACTGTAAAAACTCTTTTACAGCTACAGTAGGCTACATAGTACAGTGGAATCTTGTTATAACGAGAGGGAGGGGACCGGTGCGAAATGTCCATTATAGCAGGATTCTCGTTATTGGGATCCAGTAATAAATTCAAGGGAAATAGTAAAGTAGACCTATTCTATGAGATTGGTCTTCTGTTTATTCCTTTTTGTATTTCCCCTGATGATGATTTTGTTCAACATGATCAAAAATCGAATCAGGTTTCTTTCCTAGCACTAGCAATGTTGACAAATCGGCTTTGGCAATTAAGAAAGTAGGGGCTCTGGCTCTAGGCTAACTTGCCCGCTGTGTTGTTCCCCACCCCACCACACCTTGTGGTGCGTTGCGTCTGCTTGCGCACGCCACACATTCACTCCATCTATCACAGCATTGTGACCTCTCCATCCCGCACCAGAGAAGTGAGAGGCACGGTAGGCTTAGATAATCTAGACTGGGCCGGCCTATCGCGTGATGCGTTCTGCTTGTCTGCGAATGCTACACCCTCCCCACTCATTCGCTCCGGCCTTCATTGTTGGTTCGCTTGGGCTCTCCCCTTCTTTGTTTCGCTGGATCACCAACTTTCTCAACTGGCAAGGTTTTATAATATATGTTTAATTGGTCTGTGTGCTGTGCACAGCAGCAGCATTATTCTGCTATAACCAACTCGCGTGACTATCTGATTGCGCAATAGCAGTATTTTATTTACAAAGATAAAGAAGGGAAAAAACGGGGTTTTAGAATAGTGTCTTTATAGCATTCTCGTTGTTTCAGGACTCGTTATAAGTGGACTCCACTGTAATAGTATACAAGGAATGAACTGTCCTGTTTTGATTATTTTATATGTCGTCTTCATTACGAACTTAGGATGTGGGTGCTCTGGTGTGGTTTGCTTCTTCTTTCCTATCAAACATCTATTGTCCTTATCTCCACTTCTTCTTTTTTATATTTGTTACTCTCTTGTAACACCTAATATTCTGGCGCTCATATGACCTTATGCAGTTGCGAGCACCGTAAAACCTCTACTAAAAAAAAAAAAACGAACTGAGGATGAGCTCCATGTACACCTGTCTGATCTGACATTTGGTTATTTCAGTTCTTAAAATGAATGGGGACTGTTTTCAGGCCTGTCCCAGTATGATAATGATAAAAATGACTGATGAACAGTACTGGCAGTACTGGTGTGCGTTTTAAATATTATAATATATAATATAATCTGAATTGAGTGATTTAATTCGCTTGTCTTACTAACTGTATACAAGTGCACATTGGACTGATTAGGCCTGCACTACATGAATCTACTGTGTAAGAAAGCAACTTTCTTCATTATTGCTGTCACTGTGACGTGTCTTGTCTGTATCTCATTCTCTGTCGACTTTCCACACCTGAAGAAACACTTGTGCCTATGCCTCATCCCCTCAGACAAATACACTGACACTTACTAACAGCAACCTAACCAACACCTGACCGCTCTCTTGACCCAGGCACAGCGCACATTAAACATCATGTCTGACTCGTGTTGGTGTGAGAGAAGGCTTCTGATCGGACAGAACATGTATAAGCCAGCATAGTCAAACCTCGTTACACCGCCACCAATAAATACTGACCCATAATATTAATAGACTAGCTTCTGATCTGGCATAATTGTAAAATTTGAATTGGCGACATAAACTTCATTTTGAGCTGTACATATGAAGTTGGTTGGTACTCATTAATCCCTTGCACTTGCGCATAGCAATCGTGCAAGACATCTATCTCTGGATAAGTCAAGACAGGCCACTATTTATTTGTCTCTGGTTTCCACCAATAGCTTACACTTACACTATTCAAGATGACAAAAAGTGCTCTTCCACTTCCATTATAAAATAATTATACTACTGCCGCCAACTTCATGCTCGTCTTGGGGTAGGCAGCAAAACAAATTTTGACTTTATATCATATAATACCATAAAAAAGACCCCTTTCAAACACAGATCACACAGCAGAATTGTGTTCCTTGATGTTTGGCAGTCGGACAGAGGAACCCTGTTGAACCGCCAGCCCTGCTGTTCCGCCAACTTTATGCTCGTCCCGATGGGGGCGGATAACGTGGTTTGGGGCTGTTCATAATCTTACACCCGGAGGGGGGGGGAGGGGGTCTTTGGCTCCTGTAAGAAAGGGAGGGGTGGAGGGTGTCTTGAATCAATGAAATATTACACTTTTGTGAGGTGAAGCAATTTAAGGGAAAAAAAGGGTGGCCTTTGTCAAGAAAGGCTGCATGGTGTGAAGAGGCCACAAGGAATGTGGAAAATATTTTTCAAGTATTGCAGCATTGAATTTGAATTGAATAACTGAAGAGGCACAGGGCTTTACATAGGAAGAAATGGAGGTGGAGGAAAAGGAGACAGAGCAGAAAGTTGGAACAGGACCCAATTTGGAAGACAGCTCAGCACATCATAATGATGAACACTGCCTTTGTTGATTATAACCAACCGGAGACGGAGACAAAAAAGTATCTCCGTTATAACTAATTTCACTTTTTGTTTTAATCATAAATGATAAGCAGTAACAGATACAGTGGAATCCTGATAAAGTCAACTCCTGCTTACAGTCAACACCTCACTGTGGTCCCGTTTCTTACCTCCTTTGTTTAGGTAATTGTGTTTCTGATACCGTACATCATGTACAGTCAACCGCTTGACGTTAACCTTGCGTGTAAAGTTAGTAAAGTCAACAATTTGGGGCTAAATCCCAAGATGAATTCATTTAAAAGAAGAGATACATGTATTTCGGTCCTGAGCTAGTGGTGTACACACCTCCATGTACTTTGTTCACTCATCATCTCTTGTTTTGGTGACAACTTCCGAATTATGCTTACTGAATCACTGAAATTGAGCTAACATCTTGTTACCAGGTAGCCTACTTTGTAATTTTTAAATATTATTTATGTACACGTATGATATCTAAAATTCTGTGTTTGTGTTCCGCGCAATTTACCGATCTTAAGATTGCGCTACACGTTTTAACGATCGTATAAATTAAATGCCTGGCAATCTTAATTCTTAAGATTGTGGGGCAATTTTAAGATTGCGCTGGGCTTTTTAACAATTACATGTATATAATTGTATCATTCTTGTGAGCTCTTCATTTTCATATGTATCTAATTTTCATTTTCATATTTTGCACTTTTGAAAATATACATGATGAATGTTCCTTGATGTGAGTAAAAAAAGAATAAATATATGGAGTGAATTATATGATCATTAAAATGAGCAGCGCAATCTTAAGATTGCCGCGCAATTATATGATCGTTAAAACGCGCAATCTTGCGCTGAACATGATACATGTATGCATGTTCTTCATGAATATTATGTAAAGTGCATGGAACAATGATTGTAACACGGATTTGTGCAATATAAATGTCATATTATTAGTATTATAAGCGAACAATATAACTTATATTGTGTAAGAAAAGTGTAAGAAGGAGGGGGAGGGGGGTCAAAAGTCCCCAAAAAGGTGTAAGATTATATTTGAACAGCCCCTTTGACTGTACTGTACTAGAATTAATTACAGTGGAATCCTGTTATAACGAAAGGGATGGGACCGGTACGAAATGTCTGTTATAGCAGGATTCTCATTGTAAGGGATCGAGTAATAAAGTAGGCCTAATCTATGAGTTTGGTGTTTTGTTTACTTCTTTTTGTTATAATAAATATCTCCTCTGATGATGGTTTTGTTCAACATGACCTCTAGGTCTTACTTGATCAAAAATTGAATCAGGTTTCTTTCTCTAGCATTAGCGATGTTGACAGCTTGGCGTTGGCTATCAGAACGAAAGTAGTCTAGGCTAACTCGCCTGCTGTGTTTTCCCCCACCCCACCACACCCTGTGTTGCGTTCCCGCGTTTGCTTGCGCGCGTCACACATTTGCCCCAAGATCTAGACGGTCAGAGAGAACGTATAGCCCATGATCCATCACAGCACTGTGACCTCTCCATTCCCGCATTGGAGAAGTGAAGGGCATGGTAATGGTAGGCCTAGATAATCTAGACTAGGCTGGCTTATCACGTGATGCGTTCTGCTACACAACGGCTTGTCTGCGCGTGTTACACCCTCCCCACTCATTCGCTCCAGCCTTCATCTTTGGCATACATGGGCTCTCCCATTCTTTGTTTCGCTTGATCACCAACAAGTTTCACAACTGGCCAGGTTTTTTTACATCATGTATAAATGGCCTATACGATGTGCACAGCAGCAGCAATATTCCGCTATAACTATAACCGACTCGCGCGTTTATCTGAATGCGCTGTATAGCAGTATTTTATTTACAAAGATAAAGAAAGAAAAAAAAACGGGGTTTTTTTAGTTTTAGAATAATGTCTTTTTAACAGACTTCTCTTTATTTCAGGACTCGTTATAAGTGGACTCCACTGTACAACGAAGCTATGTTTTCTTTAAAAATATTCAGCTCCTTTCTTTCTTTCAGAAGATTCGTATTATTCATACGGTTTAGTGTTTAGCATGCACTCATGCATTTAGGTCTAGACCTATATTACATGTACTATTACTATATATATAAATAGCAAACAGATTTTCAGGTCTCAAACTAGTACATGTAGGCCTACAATGTTCAGTACAGCAAAATTAACATAAACTCATAAAGATTTCTGTGTCCCGCTGATTTCGCTATGCCTTAGACTGTAAGTGTAAGACTGTTTGTTATGAGTTGTGTTTCTAATATATATCAAATCAGTCAGTTCTATTTTAGAGCTTTCATTACTTTCAAATTGACTCTGAATATAAATAACATAACATTCATGGTACAGGTATGATGTAAAATGTTTCCATTTCCTTCTAAACGCGGGCTTCCGATCCTGCGTGTCACATGGCCAAACTGGGTCAAGAGGGACACAACATCCAAGTCCAAGCTGAAAGACAGGGATACAATGGAAACCATATAATAACAGGCCCGGTAATCAGGGATTTTTAAATCCCGTTTTTTTTCTACTTTGTCTCTATTAAAAGTTATTTGCAATTACAGGGCATCATCGGAGCCCAATCGGTTATATAGTATAGCAGGGACAAAAGCTCCTTAACAATGTGTAAAAAGTAAGAGAGAGAGAGTGTGTAACGCAGTGATGGAGCAAGCCCACGCCACTGCAAGCACACGCAGCGTGTGAAACGAGAGAGGGCTGCGGTGTGCAGCAGACTTCGATCTAGCCCTAAGCCACTGCCACGAGAGAGGGCTGCGGTGTGCAGCAGACTTCGATCTAGTCTAGCCCTAAAAGCCACTGCCACGAGAGAGGGCTGCGGTGTACTTGTGGCAAGGGAAACTACCCATGAATAAATACAGCTGGATTAGTCCACAAATGCTTATTTTCCTTGCATTTCTGATTTAATAGGTATCTGATATAAAAGAACTTTTTCTCTGGTCCCATGACCCCTGGTATATCAGGTTTCCACTGTACTCAACTCGATAAAAATTCTCCTTCACTCAGAATTGGACTCAGGTCACTAGCGTGTAACAGTGAAGCACCTCATTGATCATTGCTACACCACAGACACCAGTACATTTTAAAAAAAGTGAATTTGTGTAAGAGTTATCATAACGGGTGGAAAAAAAAGCACAGAAAGCACAGGGTATGTACAACAACTTTTAATATTTGGTACAAGTACAAGACAGGTCAAGAAGCCTCATTAATCTCTTCAAGCTCCTCGTTTGACACAACTCCGGCACTGACCTCTAATCTCTTCACATCATTAGCAGAAATTTTCCTTAATTTCAAGTTCTGAATATACTTTGGTTCGCCATCCCACTTCTTGAAACTTTCTAAATGTTTCTTGTTTATCAGATCAGGCACTTCAATTCCAGAGCCTTCAAACTGGTGCGTTTCATCTTCTATTGTCATCTTGATTGAAGATTCTCTTGCAGCATGTTGCCTTGTCTGTCCTTGTCGGTTCCCAACACTTTGGACAAGTCTTATCTGGTCCAGCTCGTCACTGAATCGGTTGCGGTACTCTGTGACAAGGTCAATCATGTCTTGCTTTGTGTACAGATGCCTGTCATCCAAGTTATCCTAGGGAAGACAAGAAAGAACACGACATGATGGTGAAAGGTAATAAGGTATGAATTATTGATTTTTATCTTTAATTTTACAGGAATATCACATTTGGTAATAAAATAACACAGGTAAATAATTTCACTGCACAAAGCAGAATTAGCACTCAAATTTTTAGCCTAGTATAATATACAGACGTTTTACTGTAATAATACTGATTGTCTTGCGGTGCACCATACCTTTCGGTCTTGGGAAAAGTGGAAGCAAAAAAGGACACGGTTATTGCGTAGTGATGTCATATATATAATAGAGATCTAGATCTACACCTAAGCCCACGTTAAAAAAAAATTGAGGTACTATGTAGGCCTTTAAAATAAATGCCTTTTATTGAAATTGTATTTTTATTTCTACGTTAAGTACCCGGTATCACTATTGTCAAAATTACTAGATCTAGATCTATGAAATATCTGACAATGACAACACATGCAAAAAAATCAATCCAACCATTGCATACATGCTGTGCGTTGTTTCTGAAGCAGTGATAATGGTTTTCGATATTACTGTTGGACTTCCAAAAGATCTAGCAGATTAGACCTAGAGTTACTTACTTTACTGTTGTGGCAAGTAAATTATATGAGTACGGTAATTTATTAAATTAAATTATATCAAAGATCCTGTGTGTAAGTATGCGCATGTGTGTGTTCAGTGACAAGGTGTGTGCTTGTGTTGGGGGAATCATAGCTGCCACTCAGGAATTTTTAAAAAAGGAGGAAATTCATGCGAAAGCGGACGCGCGCTCTCCGAAGGCCGGAGTAAAACCAGTGAGATCCAGAGGCAATATACTGGAAAATCTAGCCTATGGTTTTGGAAGGGAAAACTGTCATATTTGTTAACCATAGGCAACTGAATTTAAATGTATTTGAAGGAAAAAAAACAAAAACAACCCAACAGAGGCACTAAGTAGACTAACAATAACAAGCATTTGAATCAATTTGACACAATTTTGACTTGGTGACTAAAAATCCAGTGTTTGTTGCAAGCTGGTGTCTTATAAAAAGATTTCTTTCACTTTAAACTAAATTAAACTTTACATCGATGTACAGCGCGCGCAGTATTGGATAAAGGAGGCAACACCTTTGCCGCTGTACTGAGCACTCCTGTACAATTGCGGTCCCGTTTGCACTTAACTTAGTAGATCTTTCTAGATCTAGTCCCTCTGTAGTGTGTAGACCTAACCTGAATTAAAATTATAGCCTAGGCTATCTAATCAATTCTAATCTAGATCTAGATCTAGAATCTAGATATATATCAAGGCCATCTCTATTCTCACCCCAGGCAAGTCTTTTGGCTATTCTCACCCGCTGGGCGTTCACCGTTATAGCCTATGCCAACCAGTGAAGCGTTCACCCTGAACCACAGAATTCTACACTGTGATAACAGAATTATTATAGAATTCTGTGCTGTGAACAAACGTTCTAGATCTAGATCTATTACTACTGTTAGTGTTAGCCTAAAAGCATGCAATTTTGTCTGTGGGCAGTGGAGAGAGAGAGAGAGGAGTAGCGCGAGAACTTCCGGGCAAAACAAAATGGCGACCCGCGTAGTTCGGCTCGATTCGGAAAGTTAAATAGCCGTAGCATCTTTGTAGACAACCAAATTAATTTAGTTATAATTTTGTATTTTAACATCATTTTTAAACTTTTTTGGTCAATTTGATCGTCCACACCGATAGACAGTATTCAGAAAGAGACACACACAGAGAGAGAGGGGAGGAGTAGATCTTGCGAGAACTTCCGGGCAAAACAAAATGGCGACCCGCATAGTTCGGCTCGATTCGAAAAGTGAAATAGCCAAAGCATCTTTAAAGACGATCAAATTAGCTTACTTTTGTGCTATAACGTAATTTTTTCTTGGCTTTTATCAATTTGATCATCCACACAGATAGACAGTATTCCAACATGAGGAAAAACAGGTCTTGTTTCACACCGGGTGAGAATAGCCTATGCTGGCAAGTCTCACCCGGGGTGAGAGGTAGATCGTATTTTTATTCTCACTCCGGGTGAGAATTAAAGAAATAAGCGAGGCTTACCTTGGAAGGTGAAGCTTGTTTCTGATTTTACCGACTATGTCGTCAGGAACGGAGTGGTAAGATGAGAACCGCCGCGCTTCCCGCCACTGGTCACACTTTAGATCGCTCATAGGCACAGGAACATTTCAGATACAGATAGAATCTATACACTTTAGGGAGGGTTTAATTTATTCATGTGAAACATGTATGTATAATAATATATAAAGGGAGGGCATCTTACCACTCCGTTCCTGACGACATAGTCGGTAAAATCAGAAACAAGCTTCACCTTCCAAGGTAAGCCTCGCTTATTTCTTTAATTTCACCTCCTATGACGTCAGGAAGTCCTGGTAATATGAGACTTTAGAGCTGTGACTATGAGCAAAGGACGCAGAACAAAGATATCTTTTTCAGTTTGGTTCAGCACATTTATTTAGCTTTCCAATAAGCACTTAACAATGCTTGTCCAAAATTACAGGTAGTTAGCTTCTTGTAAAACTTAGCAAATGTGTCCTCTTGGGACCATCCAGCTGCCTTCATTATGTCATACACTGGCAGTCCACATCGTGAGGCTGCAGACGTGCTAGCAGCCCGAGTGCTGTGAGCAGTGTAAACAGAAATGTCAATGCCTGATGGCTCTAATATTGCTTTTATCCACCTTGCAATGGTGTCTCTACTGACTGGCTTAAATGGGCTCTGAAAACTCAACAGCAGCTGTGTTGTTTGATGCTGTACACGGTGCTCTCTAGTTCTTGAAAGGTATTCTTTCAGGACTTCTATGATACAAATGTTTTTATTTTGAGGGAAATGAGCTAATTCGATCGGCTGTAAATGATTCCCTTTTCTGGAGTGTTTTAACAAGGTATCCATAATAAATATACATTTCTCGTCTGTCATTTTCATATTGTGAGTGCTGAGTTTGTGAATTGTTTGACATCTCTGTCCTGTAAGTAAAGCTAATAGCATTACCAGTTTATAAGTAAGTTCCTTTTAAAAGGGAAAGAGAATCATTTGGAACCCATGTTTCCAGGACATTAAGGACTTGTTTGGGGTCCCAAGTAATATGTTTTGAGGATCTAGGCAAACTAGGCCTTTCTCTAAACACTCCATTCATAAATCGTTTGACAGTAGGAAGATTACCAAATGTGGTATGATCATGAGTATTCAAGCAGCAGGATAAAGCAGAGCGAGCTATACACAAAGAGGAATAGGATAAACCCTGGTCGTATTGCCTGGCTAAAAAATTTATGGCAACGTTCACAGGCGGTGAAACCGGATCCACATGGTTCTTACAAGCGAACCTTTGCCACTGAACAATATATTGTTCATACGTCTTTTTAGTTTCTGATCTCCAAGATGCCATAAGGAGCTTGGTTGCTGATTCAGAAAGGCCTCTGCTTTTGTAGGCATTCCGGACACTTTGCATACCAATAACCTCAGTCTCTTGTGTAAGGGATGTACTCTGTAAGGATCGCTCGGAAGATGTAGGAGATTCTGCCGAGCAGACAGGATGACAGGGTTCTTGATCAACATCCTCATCAGCACAGGGTAAAACGTCTGCGTGGGCCAGTATGGAGCTATGAGAATGCCCGTCGCTTTGTCTGCCATTATCTTGTTGAGAACCCTGGTAATCAGAGAAAATGGCGGAAAAGCTAGAAAACATTTCTTTCCCCAGTTTATGCTAAATGCATCTATGGCAAAAGCATCAGGATCTGGTTTATATGACACGTATGGTTTCAGCTGGAAGTTTATCCTTGATGCAAATAGATCAATTTGTGGCACAGAGTGCAAGATTTTGAGTGAATCTCTTAATAATGCTTTGTTAAGCATCCATTCAGTGTCAACATTGACATTTCGACTCTCGGAGTCAGCAACTATATTTTGTTTTCCAGAAATGTGGGCTGCACTTAACCAGATATGCTTATAAATGCCCCACATCCAAAGCTCTTGAGCAATACTGTTCAGTTTTTCTGACTTGCAAGAGCCCATCTTGTTTATACATGAAACAGCAGAAGTGTTGTCAAGAAACAGTCTGACATGAATATATTCTGCACCCTTAGTGAATGTTTTTAATGCAAAAAAGGCCCCAAGCAATTCTAATTCATTTATATGGTAAAAATTCAATTCCTGAGCGGTCCACGCACCACCTGTTTTGACACCATTGCAGAATGCACCCCAACCTTTGAGACTGGCATCACTTGTTATGATCAGTTGCGGGTCACCATGGGATATAGGGGACGTGGCATTATCAATATGGGAGTTCCACCAATTAATTTCTGTTTTCGATGCCTGACTGAGACGCATCTCTTGATCCCACTGACCTCTATGTATTTTCAGTGCCTTTTTCTTATCTTCTTCTAAGTTTCTATAGTAAAGAGGTACATGTTCCATGGCGGGAAAAGTGGAAATCAAAGTTCCAATCAGAGCTGCTATTTCTCTTATTTTGTTCTTTTTCTGCCCCATCACTTTTCCACACATATATTTGATCTTTTCTTGTCTTTCCTGTGTCAGTGACACACTCATTGACCCAGAATCAACAACGAATCCTAAGTATTTGATTCTTTGTGTAGGTTGTAACATTGACTTTTCTCTGTGTATCGTAAACCCCAGTGAATCCAATAGATGAACCGTATCTAAGACGTTCTTCAGGCATTCTTCTTTCGTTGTACCAATTAAAAAGGAATCGTCAAGGTATCCTGTGCTGATATGTCCTAACCCATGAAGGTATGCATACAACGGTTTCATTATTTTTGTGAAGTTTCTGGGTGCTTGACTCAACCCATTAGGGTAGCATGTGAAGGTATATCTTTGGCCCTTCCATATGAATTTTAGGAATTTCCAGTGCGATTCTGCAATGGGAACATGGTAGTAGGCAGAGGCCATATCTACACTTGCCATCCAACAGAATGGAGTAATTAAAGCGAGGGCAGCCTTAAAAGTTTCCATTTTGAACTTTTCGTAGTGGACATTTTTGTTTAGATTTTTTAGATTTAGGATCAATCTTATAGAATTGTCCTGTTTCTTTCTAGTGAATATTTCTGAGATAAATTCTCCCACTTCATAATTTGATTTAACAATCACTTTCTGAGACAACAGCTTTTCAATTTCCTGATCAATAGCATTTATGTCTCCTTTGTCTATGGCGTAGACCGAGTCTTTGCCTGATTTTGTAGGAACGATGTCCTCAAATACGATGTAGGTGCCTTTTATCATCTTAAGGATTTCCAAATCAGATGTAATTTCTAACCACTCATTTGAACAATGTGCTAGCTGCCCTGCTTCAAATATTTCTGGTGTATGGCAGAGTGTGTCTAAGTCAAACTCTGTTAATAGAGCTTCTCTTACTTTTACTGAGGAGGCAGTTGTTTTCTTCTCCTGTACTGGGAGTTGTGGCCCCGCTTGTGTGCTGGCCCTTGACTCTTCCACTTCGGGAATTGGCTGTAGCCTCTGTGGTCTAAAAAAGGCCTCCCAGGTTTGTTAAAATTATTTGCGGATCTGCGCTTGAAGCTGTATGGCGTGTAGTCAGCCTTCAGACTGGAAGTTAAGCGCTTGCTCTCTTTTGCCTCTTTCAAGGCCTTTTTCACATCATCGCCGTACAAAAACTTTGAGGTCTCTGCGTTCTCTTCCACCGAGGGATCACAAATCGCTCTGATGTCCGATGGCAGTGCATATTTTTGCCTGTCCTTTCTTTGTAGGGTCAGACACTTATGCGCGTGTCCCAACAGAGCCAACGCATCGATAAGGCGTTTTGTCAGAGCAGGGTCCGACTTCGCTAGTTCATCAGCACATTGCGCAACAGCAACTGCGCTCTTCCCAACAAGATTCTGAATGGCGGTCAGTTTTGTGTCAATTCGTTTGGCTGACCCTTTTAACACAGCCCATATTTCTGGGTTAGTGAGAGGAGTGCCAAGGCCAGGGCAATTATCCGGCCGGCTGTAAAGCTTGGCCTTTTCTCTCAGCTTTTCCCCTTTTCCTGTCTTAGAAAAAATTTTATGGATAAATTCCGCTAACTCTTCACTGACCGGACCGGATGTATCTTCGTCCTCTTCAAATTCTTGACCAGCTACATTAAATATCGAGTTTCGGATTTCCTCACTTTCCCGTTGATTCGAGCTGCTGGCACTCGGGGTCTGCGTGGGAGTCGGAGACTGCCGCGACGGCTTCCTAAGGTCCCCGTGACGAGATAACAATCTCGCCTCCAGCGTAGCGGTGGTCGAGTCAGAGGAAGGGGAGCGGTCTCGTTCGCTCTTTCTAGGCACCTTGACTTGTTTTAACCCTTTTCCTTTTCGTTTGGGTGGGTTTGGTTGCGGGGAAGGAGAACGCGAGTTTTGGCGGGATGAATCCGATGATGGTGATGACGAGGATGAAGAAGAAGAAGAGGACGGCGACCATTTTTGTTTCATTCCTCTGTCATTAAAGGCCTCAAGACTCTTCAAAATCCTCTCCATCGTGACTTTGTTGTCGCGGAGAGCTTGTGCCACATCGGGATCCCGTGTGTCTCCATCGGAAGGAGCATGCACGGATAGTGTGTCGTTTTCCCCCGACACTCTGTCGCTACCACTCATGTCTGATTTGTGGGTCAAACGAATCTAAAATATAAATAAAATTTTTCCCCCGAGGGTATTTTTAAGTGAAAAATGCCCAGAGGGCTGTCAATAGTTGTGTTGTATCCTTTTTATTCCCCGAGGGTATTTTTAAAAGTGAAATATGTCCCGGGGGGCTCTCTACAGATTTGTTTTATTCTTTTTATTCCCCGAGGGTATCTTTTAAAGTGAAATGTGCCCGGAGGGCTCTCAACAGCATCAATTTAATCTGTTAATCCCCGAGGGTCAATCAATATATATATTTATCTACCCCACAATCTGAGTACTGAGTGGAAGAATCTGCTGACGGGATGACCTCTTCGAGATCCTCCGTTTTCAGCAAGCCCGGAGGGCTAGACCCAAGTTAAGCGGGCAATAGTCTTGCCACGATGGCTGTTTTTGCTGTTATTACCCCGAGGGTTGGCGCGTTGCGCTTGCAATATGATGTATCCCGAGGGTTGTTGAGTGGGGAGCTCCGAGAGCGTTTATAATTTATTTATATGGCAAAAAACGGCCTATAAGTAAACAATACTTCTAGTAAATTAAAGGATGTGGACAATATTACAATACTTGCCAAACCTGTTCTTCAATGTGGATAAATCCTGTACAAATAGAAAATCACCACAATATCATTGAACACAATAGCGATAATAAGTGGTTAATTCACGTAGTTCAAGAGAAGTAAAAATCGCGTCCGACCAGTAACACGGTTGCGTAGCGAAGTGACCAGTGGCGGGAAGCGCGGCGGTTCTCATATTACCAGCCACTTCCATCAGCCATATATCTAAATATGTGTAAATCTAGATTATATCTAGAGATAGATTATCTAGATCTAGATTCACTTCAACAGCCACAATAGTCGTCATGTAAACAAACGGGACAGCAATTGTACAGGAGTGCCGCGGGCCGCGATTTCTTTCGCACCAAACGCAAAGTGCAGCAAGCGGCTTGTTCAATTTTCTCACGAACTTTTCATGTCGCACACCGGCTGCTTCTTTCTCATTCCAGCTCCTTTTATTTTTGCATCAATTTCTCTCGAATTTCCGCCGTTTTCAATGACAACTTGGCGCACTAACGTCCCGATGCCCGATCGACACTGTGTTGCTAGGCCTAGAAGAACGAAAGCAGAAAGCTACGGGTGGACATGCGCAAGCTGCGTTTTCGTCTCGCTCCCGGTTCGGTGTTTTCCGCGTGTAAAAAAGTATCGCAATTTGCGATCGAGAGCGGTCCAGCGGAGGAAGGAGGAAAGTAGCGGGAAAAGCTAGATGTAGCGGAGTTTCCGCTATTTAGCGGGAAAGTGGCAGCCTAAAGTACAGCTAGCCACTTCTAAAAAAAAATTCCCCTACGTCCCCCCCCCCTCCCCCGGTTCACACCTTGCACACATACAGACACACACGCACACTCACACACATGGGCCACTCCATTCGCTATTATCAACAAATCTCGAGAACAGAAACCGTTCGGAGAAATAGAGCCGGCCTAAATCTAAAACCACAGTATATCATGCTAGGCCTAGTCTCAGTCTAAAGTAAGATTAACAGTACTGATTAGTATATGTAGGCTAATGGAAGTGGCTATTCTCACCCGGAGTGAGAATAGAAATACGATCGACCTCTCACCCCGGGTGAGACTTGCCACCGTAGGCTATTCTCACCCGGTGTGAAACAAGACCTGTTTTTCCTAATTTCGGAATACTTTCTATCGATGTAGATGATCAAATGGATAAAGGCAAAGGAAAGATTACATTATAGCACAAAAGTAAGCTAATTTTATCGACTACAAAGATGCTATGGCTATTTCACTTTTCGAATCGAGCCGAACTACGGGGGTCGCCATTTCGTTTTGCCCGGAAGTTCTCGCAAGATCTACTCCTCCCCTCTTCTCTCTCTTTCTGAATACTGTCTATCGGTGTGGACGATCAAATTGACCAAAACAAAGTTTAAAAAATGATGTTAAAACACAAAAGTAAATTAATTTGGTCGTCTACAAAGATGCTACAACTATTTAACTTTTTGAATGGAGCCGAACTACGCGGGCTGCCATTTTGTTTTGCCCGGAAGTTCTCGCGCTACTCCTCTCTCTCTCTCCACTGCCCACAGACAAAATTGTACGCTTTTAGTAAGCTAACAGTAGTAATGGAACGTTTGTTCACGGCACAGAATTCTACAATTTTTCTGTTATCAAAGTGTAGAATTCTGTGGTTTAGGGTGAACGCAAAATTGGTTGGCCTAGATCTAGGCTATAACGGTGAACGCACACCGGGTGAGAATAGCCAAAAGACTCGCCTGCGCTATTCTCACCCGGGGTGAGAATAGAGGTGGCCTAGGCTAATAATAATACGCAGTGGCTATTTTTACGGCGAGCCGTAAAGATAGCCTCCCAGTGAGTCCCAGGCTATTTTTACGGCGATCATCGAAAAGCGACCCTACGTCCGCCTCTCATGTACGCGACATGCCTCAATGTATTAGATCTAGGCCTATAGGGGTTGTTCAAAATATAAACTTACACCTCAGAGGGGAAAGGGTGTCTTTGGTTTCTGTAAGAAAAGTGTAAGATTGGGTGGGGAGGTTAACCAAATACATGTATGACACTTCTGTGAGATGAACGTTTTGCTCATGACTGGGAAGAAAAGGTAAAAGAAAAAGTGGATAAATCCCAGTAACAAGACCCAGACCTGCATGATCACTGCAGATCCCCGTTGTTGTTGTTTTTGTTGGGGGGGGGGGGGGGGGGGGGGGGTTACAAATACTTTTGAAATTATGATGAAAATTCTGTAGGTGGATATCTAATTTCTTAATGTTTCTTTGTAACTTTGCAACTGTTTTGTTGATCTTTTAATGTCTTGATGTCTTTTATTTGTGAGGCACGTACCTATTGCATTGACAAGAGTCTCAATTATGTCTTCCACATATGTGTTCTTTCTAGTTCATATGATTTGATTAAATTGTAATTGTATTAACTGAAATGATTTTTTTTTTTAACAAGCTGGTAAAAAAAAGCCACTTATAGTACAGGTATCTTTAAAATAATAATGGAGGAGGAAGTTGAAGATCGGAAAAAGTACTAATATTAAATTGGTGAGGGTGGGGGTTGGAGGCAAATCTGAGAAAAGTGTAATTTGGGTTTTTTTTTAAGCCCCTGACCTAATAAAAACATGGTGGGGGGTTTCAGGGGGGCATTACCACAATTTAATGTTTTGCAGTTGTTAGGTTTGATAATGATATCTTAGCTTGCCGCGAATCAAACGTATATAGATCTAGGTCAGGCTCAATCAAATAAGGGGGGTGGGAACTACCGAAAAAGCGCCGGGGATGCAAAGGTTTCTGCACGGACAAACCTGAAACCACCGCAATTTCTCCGCCAAATGTTCCAATTTCACTGACGTTGCCGACTTCGAAGACTCTACTTTCTTGTCATGTACAATTTGCTTGGATATTTTTAGAGCTTTCCTGCTGTAAGGATGAACAGGCCTGTCTCTGTTTTGTTTGTCTTGACCAGAACTACATCTCTTGCTAACTTTCGGCATGCTGTCACTTTCGGTTTCCCGCAGAATGAACCGAGATAATACAAAGGAAGATATTATATTTATTATATCATGTACTACAGTAACACTGAATTGACTGAATAATTGAACCTTTAGCACAGGCACATCACGATGTAAACAGTAAACAGACCCATGCCATACTTCCTGCGGCTGGCTTGATTGCTAGATTGCCCTTGCCAGTTTTATTTACATCTAGATTCTAGATCTAGATCTAGACTTGCCCATGTGTTTCGTTTCATGTAATCTGCATCTTATCCTGTCAGAGACGGGTTTATATTTACCATACATAAAATGTCTTTGACTGCGTAGAGTTATTTAAAGCGGGATAAAAAAGGGAAAAAATTACAATAATTAGTCTCAGCACCAAGTTTCAAAAGCAAGCCAAAGGTGACCTTAAAATTATAAAATTGGCAAAGTAAAACCCTTTTTTGCCTATAGTTATTTCCCTTGAAAAGAGCAGCTCGTTGAAATGTTGAAAACACATTTTCGTAACTTTCTTTTACGCAAAAGAGTTCCACAATTGGCAATCGGCAATGTGTGTGTGTTGACCGCTTGTTGGCCTGCCTGTGTTACTGTGTCAAATACTGTGTTTATAATACTATAGTGGTCGTGTTACAGACTGGAAGGGTAGAAAACAAACTGCAAGCAGTTAAAAGGGACTTTTATTTACTCTGGATACAGGCTCTGGTCGTCAGAAAGTTTCACAATGCAAGCAGCAAGAAAACTTGGAACTTGTACATTGTTTGCTGCCTCAAATTATTGCCGGAGGTAATCTAAACCTGCTGAAGGTCGTTAGGCCTATTATTTTGGAAGTGGCTCTCCTCACCAGGGGTGAGAACAGCCCGTGTCTCGCTCTTCTCACCCACCTCATGCCCTTGAGGGAACTCCTTGCGGTCTCGTTAGATCTAGATCTAGATCTAGCACTAGATCTAGATCACACAAGCAAAGACGGTGATCTATACTAATACTTTACTTAACTTATAGCCTGTTATACGAACGGAATAATAATAAGAAGTATTGAAAGTTAAGAAGAGGAAAAAGACTGAAAACAGTAAAGAAACAAAAAAAATATTTTACCGTGAATCTATCCATGTAGCACCCCCTCTTGACTAGATACCTCTAGACTCTAGGGGTAAGACTTTGTTAACTTTGTAACATGATGGCCACCTCTAAATATTCACCCCGGGTGAGAATAGCGCAGGCGAGTCTTTTGGCTATTCTGACCCGGTGGGCGTTCACCGCCTAGAATCCTAGATCTAGGCCAACCAGTGTTGCGTTCACCCTGAACCACAGAATTCTACACTGTGATAACAGAATTGTAGAATTTTGAGCCGTGAACAAATGTTCCATTACTAGAAATCTAGATCTACTGAGTGTTAGTGTTAGCCTAAAAGTGTGCAATTTTGTCTGTGGGCAGTGGAGAAAGAGAGAGAGGGAGGAGTAGCGCGAGAACTTCCAGGCAAAACAAAATGGCGACCCGCGTAGTTCGGCTCGATTCGAAAAGTTGAATAGGCGTAGCTTCTTTGTAGACGATCAAATTAGCTTACTTTTGGGCTATAACGTAGCAATGCCCACCGAGCGCGTTTTGTTCTGCCGATTTTTGGCCCCTGCCGTGGGGGTGTTTCGTGGGACGCACTAACGCAAAGGTTGTTGTCTTCAACTCGCTCTCACGCCGCTTCTTGTGAATGGATATGAATGAAACTTGGCAGCCAATCAGAAAAGAGGTCAATCTCGTAGTCAGTTTGACAACTTTGTACCCATCCAAGAAGTAGTCGAAAACGTTTGCGAAAGTGGTTGATGTGGTGCGCTTTAAAGATTTTTCGGAGCTGTGATTTGTCAAACTGACTGATACTTGTACACCATTTTTCTTTATTCCCTTAGAATTTCATGCTTCTGTGTTTAGCGGTTTTTGCGTAATCTTTAAAAATGTGGGAGTAACTAAGGAAAAAGCGGCATTGCCATTTGCGCGTGCTGGGTGAACGACCGGCAGCTGGGAAATTTCCACTGAGTGACGTCATCAGCCATTGGTCGCCTCGGGTGCTACAAACGAGGCTCCGCTTATGTGAACCGGAAAGGGGGGGAAGGATACTTGAAAACTAAACGGGGGCCTTGATAACTTGCATTTTTGTTGCATTTTAGTCACACAATACAATAGATGTAGTAATTTTTATTTGCTTGATTGCATGAAAGAAGAATAGAAACGGAAAAGCAAACATCTTGAGATGTGGTATGGCATCGTGTTTGCGTTATAGAAAGCCTATCCCCCCTCTTGGCAAAGCACACACTTGGACTCGTCCTGTGTGCTCTGTTTGGAAAAGTGAGGCATTAAGATTGTGTTATTAAAGAGTATGGTACTTATTTAGTCCAGTCTGGGAAGATAGTCCCGTTTATACATTGTTATCGTTCCCGCGTGAGTGCGCCCACGTGCGTGTGTGTGTGTGCGTGAGAGAGAGAGAGAGAAGTGGGGGGGGGGGTGTAATATGTTACATTTATAGTATGAGTATGAGTTGTAGCCTACACATGCGAAATATTCCCGTGACTTGTAAACTATACTATCTAAACGCATCTTAATCTACCACACAATAGGACACTGTCCAACAATGGATACACAGTGACAATCTTAATTTCTATTACAAAGTATGCATGCTTTTACTAGTAGAGAACTGGATTTATTAGACTAATAAATCCAGCTCTCTACTTACATTTTTGTGACAAATTGATCCTGAGCATCGCTTGGCAAGGAGGAACCTTTTATGTTGCCAAGTTTCATTCAAATATCATGACTTTGGGAGAAGATATGACTGATAATCTTTGTAAATCTGTAAAGAACACCACTTTTTTACCTGTTAATGTCTTTACAACTTAAAAGTATGATAGATATTAAAAATCTGACAGCATGACTAGATTCTGCATTAAAAACTGTACTAGACTGCCAAGTTTCATTTTGATTTACATACTCCAAGAAATAGGCGAGCTATGACAAATATTGTCTCAAAACGCACCGAAAACCGCCACATTTTTACCTATAAACGTCTTCATAACTCAAAAAGTAGGATAGCTATGACGAATCTGCAAGCAGGACTAGATTGTGCTCTAGAAAATGTACTAAGTTGCCAAGTTTCATTTAAATACTCCGAGAAATGAGCGAGTTATGAAGAATATTGTCTCAAAACTCACCAAAGAACGTCCCATATTTTGGTGTTTTTTTTCATTATATATAAAAGTGTATTGATGGATTTCAAAAATTCAAAAAGTTCCATGCTCTGTGGAGATAGAGCTACAAAATGCACCTATTTGCAAACACTTTCTGACAAAAAAAGGTTTTTCGTGGTCATTGCTATTATAACGCAATTCTTTTCTTTGCTTTTATCAATTTGATCATCCACACCGATAGACAGTATTCCAAAATTAGGAAAAACAGGTCTTGTTTCACACCGGATGAGAATAGCCAACGGTGGCAAGTCTCACCCGGGGTGAGAGGTCGATCGTATTTTTATTCTCACCCCTTGATTCTGAACTTCTTCTCCTTCTTTTTCTTCTTGTTCTCCCCCTCCTCCTCCTCTTCCTCCTCCTCCTCCCCCTCCTCCTCCTCCTTCTTTTCTTCTTCTTCTTCCTCTTCCTCTTCTTCTTCTTCTTCTTCTCCTTCTTCTTCTTCTAGTAAAAGTACCCGTTCTACGAACGGAATAACAATGAAGAAGTATTAGGAAAGTTAAGAAGAGGAAAAAGACTGAAAACAGGAAAAAAACAAAACATAAATATTTTACCTTGAATCTATCCATTGAATCAATTGCAGATGTCTTTTCGATGAACGATCATTTTTCCTTGGTTTTGGAGTTGGAAGAATCACAATTTGACAAAAAGAACAGTGTCATAATTTCAGTCGAGCAGTCACCCTCTCTCCTATTTCTCTCTCTCTTTCTCTCTCTCTTTCTCTCTCTCTCTCTCTCTCTCTCTGTCTCTCTTTCTCCCTCCCTCTCTCTCCCTCTCTCTCTCTCTCTCTCTCTCTCCCTCTCCCTCTCTCTCTCTCTCTCTCTCTCTCTCTCTCTCTCTCTCTCTCTCTCTCTCTCTCTCTCTCTCTCTCTCTCTCTCTCTCTCTCTCTCTCTCTCTCTCTCTCACACACACACTACCGGGTTTGGGCGCTGAAACTTTTTCGAAATCACAAAAGATTTCTCCTACCGGGTGTGTATACACTTTGAATATTAAAAGTATGCTCACAGCCTTGATGATCGCTCAGCTAGATCGTGTTACTTAGCTAAGCAATGCCAATTGGGCTTCTACGCGCCCCAAAAATTTGGTCCCCGTTTGCAGGTGAGTTTTTGGACTGAGTCGGAACATTAGTGACTAACTTTCTCAACCTCGATGTGATCTATTTCTGCACCAATGTGAATGAAACTTGGCAACCAATCAGAGAACAGTACAAACTAATGATATGTAAATGTTGAAGTTCGTACACATTTAATTAACCTATACCTCTATACTTTTGGTGTCTGAAACACTTTCGTATCGGGTATACCGAAAACTATAAGGAGCTTGATTTTCAACGCCAAGAGGGTAATAGTTCTACTTGCCTCTATCATCATCATCCGGTGCCTTGTCGACTGGCGTGGGCGATCATGGACCTCCACTTCACTCTGTCTTGCGTTGCAGCAATGGTGTCTGTTGTTCTTGCTGCTCCTAGCCATGTTGTCTTCTTGTCCAGTATCTTTTCCCTCTGTGTGCCTCTGCCTCTCTTTCCATCAAACTTGTCTGTTGTTGCAATATATTCTCCAATGCTTCTTTCCGCATTGTGTGTCTGAAGAAATTTGCCTGTCGCTTTCGTATTTCGTCATTGCTGTCTTCTGCAATTTGCTTCAACCAAGACTTCTTCATTTGTTTTTCTTGTTGTCCATGGGATACGTAGCATGCATGTGTCTTATGAACCACAACTCTGTCGTCACAACTGTTCTTTCCAGCTGTCCACGCTTCACACCCGTATAATAGGATTGGCTCAATGTAGCTTTTCAGTACTCTTTTTCTTGTTTCCAGTGACCGATTGATGTTTGTGAGTATCTTTTTCATTTTGTGGAAGGTTGTTTTTGCTTGGCAAAAATGCGTGTGTGACATCTCCCATCTTATGATATAATGGTCCCCAAATATTTAAAATGTTGTACTTGCTTGAGGGTGGTATCACTGATTTTGATATTGCATGTTGGGGTTAGAGTTTTTCTGCCTGTCACCATTGTTTCGGTTTTCTTGATGTTTAGGCTTAAACGCCCATGTGTCACTCTCTTGTATGATGACATTCAATAGATTCTATCAGGTGTTCTTCATCTTCTGCTATTAGTACTGTGTCGTCTGCTTATCCTAGATTGTTTATATTATGTCCCTCTATCGAGATACCTCGCATTTCTTCTATGTGTCTCATGATATTGATATTTTCACTATACAGGGAGAACAAGTCTGGAGAAAGTACGCATCCCTGTCTGACTGCTCTTTTAATCTATATATGTATTCGCTGATGTCGTTTTTTATTCTCATTGCAGCAGTTTGATCCCAGTACATGTTCTTGATAATCTTTAAGTCCTTCCGGTCAATATTGAGGACTTCCAGCATGTTGATGATCTTGTCGTGCCTAACTTTGTCAAATGCCTTGTGTAGTCTATAAAACATAAATGAAGATCTTTCTGAACTTCTAGGGCACGTTTTATTGTTGTTCTGATCACATATATGGCATTTACAGTGCCTTTGCCTTCAATAAATCCTCACTGTTCTTGGACTATTTCTGGGAGAATTTTATTTCGTATTCTCATCATAATTATTCTGAGTAGTATTTTTGTTATCATGTGACTCATGAGGCTGATGGTACGATGAGTTTCACATTTGTTTGCATTACTCACTCATTAGGTTTTTTTGGTAAAGCTATGAAGATAAATTTTGACAAGTCTGATGGAATATGTCCAATGTCATACATATGTTGTTAAGAGGTTTTGTCAGTGTGGTGATTCCAAAGTCCTCTAAAGCTTTAATCATCTCTGTGGTAATGTTGTCCGGTCCTGCAGCTTTTCCCATTCTTCATCTTTCGTAGTGCCTTGATAACTTCTTCCTTCATGATTGGTGGGCCCTCGTTATTTTCCACTCTTCTTTGTTTATCTCTTTTTTTTTATTTTACAGGTCACTGATGTATTCTGTCCAATGTTCCAGTATCTTGTCTTTATCCATGATGATATTCCCATCCTTTGATTTGAGGCATCTTGTTGATCCATGTGTTCTTGTATGGCACACCTTTTTAATTTTTCTGTGCAGATCTTTTGAGTTCGCATTGGAATGATTTTCCATTTCCTCACCTTCTTCTTTTAACCAGGTCTCTTGCTAGATTACATTTGGTCTGATTTCTTTATGAAGATTCACATATTTTTCCTGATTGTTTTTGTTTATTCTTTGTTCCTCCATAAGATTAAGAACTTCTAAAATTCTTCAGTCATTCATTTCTTCTTTGCTTTTGTTGTCCTTTCTTGTATGACGTCTTTTGCAGCCTCATTTATAGATGTTTTAAGCTGTTCCCATTGTAACCATTGTTCTATGTCTTGTATTTCTTCTAAGGGGCCGAATTTGTTCTGTACAGTTATTCTGAATTTATCTTGCATTTCTTTGTTTGACAGGAGTAATGCCATGTTTAGTTTCATATTCTTGTTCTTGCTCATGTGTGTTCTTTTCAATCTTATTCTAAATTTTCCCACTACAGGTACATGGTCACTGTAACAGTCTGGTCCTGGGCGCGTTTTGACATTTAGCATCCCGTTTTTGTATCTTTTCTTGATCATGATATAGTCGATCTGGTTGCGAGCGCTGTCTCCAGGACTCTTCCAGGTCCATAATCTTCTTGGTGGTTGTTCATACCTAGTGTTTCCAAATCATGTCATTCAGGATGGCCCATTCTATCAGTTTTTCTCCTCTCTCATTTCTGGTTCCCAATCCACAATGTCTTCATGTCTTGTTTTCCCATTTTTGCATTAAAATCTCCAATGACTATGACAATATCTTGTGATTTACAATGTGTCTTTGCTTGGTTTATTCCATCATAAAACTTCTCTATTTCTTCTACTTTGCTTTCTGAGGTTGGTGCATGCACTTGGGTGATGGTTGTATCGAAGGGTGATCCTTTCAGTCTCACCAACATAACTCTGTCTGATATTGTCAGGTACCCCTTATTAACTCTTTCCGTACGTAGTTTTTTTGGGGTCTAATTAACTAGTGGCTCGATTTGGCTATGCAGGTGGTGTACAAAATAACTTCATAGAAGCATAACCATCCCTTAAAAACGTAACATATGATATACCAAATTGAAGGAAATTGAATGAGGAATACATCCCAATATGAAACAAAGGATTAATTATGAATATAAATATATGCATTAGAAGGGTTAGAAATGGCGATGATGATGAGAAAAATAAATTTTGACTAAAAAAAATTACATTCCCCAAACACGTGAAAGCAAATCAGTTAGCTATCTATACAGGCCCAGAGCATAATCCATAAAATTCTGAATGCATAAAATTCTGAATGCGTAGCTTTTTATTTGAAAGCAATATTCCAATTTTTGTTTGAGTTATGATATTTATACTGAGTCCGATTACATCGTTTTGTTGATGCAAGACCACGAGCCGCAAGATCTAATTCACTCGTTTTTCCCCAAACCCCCGCTTTGACAAAGTGAAACTAGATGTTTTCGTTTCCTCAATCCCTTCCAAGTTTTTCAATAGCAATAAAAGGTAATTATAAATTACGGATCGTGTTAAAACGAAACAAAACTGAGGCACCCTATGACAGCCGATATGGACTCGCGACGATATATCGGCGATACGTCCGGAAAGAGTTAAGTGTCTTCGATGTTGACATGTCCATGATGACCGCTACTCCTCTTTCATGTTTGTCGCCTCCTGAGTAAAGGATTTTATAGCTGTCTGACAATATGCTGCCAGCTCTTGTCCATCATACTTCACATAAACCCATGATGTTAACATTCATTCTCTTCATTTCTTTCTTGATGTTGTCCAGCTTTCCTTTCTCTAGCAGTGTTCTCACATTCCAGGTTGCTATGTTTCTCGTTTGAGTTTTCCTTTTGTGAGCAGTATCTTGATGACGATCTGGTGTCACCTGCTTTCCTCTATAGTGTCCTCAAATTTGAACGTTCTGTGTCAAGTAGTTGATTAGACCCGATCATAAATGCAAGCGGCTTCGCACGGAGACCAGCCATTTTCCCCTCACTCTCACGGCAAACGTATGTGACCTACAAATCCCCGTATGACTATTCTGAGCCCGTTCATTGGTCACTTGAAATAGGGCAGTGGCGGCCACGCGCGCATCCGGTTGTTTTTTTCTCTGTTCCCCTGTAACATGGCAATGGGGGTATTCCGAGGCGAGCTTATAAATCTCTCCTTGGGGTGTTCGCATCACAACGGGAAAAAAGTTTTTAATTGTACGGCATGCTAGATTGAGTTTACTTATATTTTAAGGTTGACATAGTCTAAAGTCATCAAAGAAAGCTTTGCCTTTATTTAGTCACACTGCCAACATATTTCTTAAAGATCCCATGTTGTGATACGATACTATAAATAAAATGCTCTCATCCTGACACCCCTTTTTTGCAAAATCGTAATATGTACATCAAAATTTTAAATTTTAAAATAACTACGAAATGGTTAGTAAATCTGACTGCAGAAATGAATTCTCCACCCAAAAAGACATCGGGTAACCAAGTTTCTTTCTAACACTCCTATTAATTACTGAGATATCGTCGATTTACTTACAGAGTCTGCTGTCCATAATTTATGATCCAATTCTTAAAATTCAAGAAGCATAATTCATGATGATCTGAGGAAAACAAAATCTACAGGATACCTACTTTTTTTAAAATTACAGGTTAGTAGAAAGGAGCACCCTTCTCAATTCAAGATGCTGTTTGGTTCAGATGATGTCTTCAAGTTACACCACAGCAGCAGATGTCATCCCTCCTCCTCCTTCTGACATCGTCTCTAAGCAGTACTCGCCAAAAATAGAACAGCTAGTTACAGATATCAGTCAGCTCACTTTACTGGAAGTTGCTGATTTGAATGAACTGTTGAAGGTTATTATTCTTTTTCTCAGTCCTAACTGACAGTTTAAAAAAATTACTAGTGAAACAGGCTGAGCTGGATGTTTGAATTTTGGTTACATAATAAAACATTATAGATTGTGATGTTATTATTTTTGTTTCAGACTTCTGTCCATAGTTATGAAGTTTTTCTAAAATTTTTATTCTTCACTTCATTTTTAGCAGGATTTCCCCCTTTTGTTTCTGTGCCTGATACAGTTTAACACGGATTAGTCGAACACAGAAGACTCGAAATCACGCCTCTATTGAACTGTGCCTGCTGTCCCTGTTTTTTCTTCTTCTTTATCTTTGTAAAATATCCCTAGAACTACTGAGGCAAGTCATGACGAATTCAAGCTATCTGTGTTATACTGTATTTTGGTGGGCGCATTGTGTTTTGTAATAGGTAGTACAGAGTTACGTTTTGGCACGACATGTTATAACTGGAGCGGTTTTCCTTTTGAAAGAGAAGAGTTACATAAGTGTAGTTTAGTGTATACTATTATTCTTATAATGGAAGTGAGCTATCTGAGGTGAAGATCTTTTTACTTTTTTTCCTGTGGTGATCTTTTTTCTTTTTTTATAATGTGCTTTTATGGAAGGGTGGGGGATTACGGTTTTGTTGTAACTTTTTATAAATGTGACAGAGCATTTTAACATTCGAAGGAGCAATACTGTCATGGAATCCGTTTTTTACTGTTCTTTTTTAAAAAAAAAAGAATTTGTATTGCATACATAACCGTGTGAATGTTGTGATTTCTTTTTCTTTCAGAAAACATTAAACATTCAGGATGCCCCTATGATGGCAATGGGTGCAATGCCTGCAGTTGCAGCAAAGGTAACTTGTCTCTTACAGTGTCTGTTGTTTGTTAGTGTCCCGTAAGGTTTTTGCTCTGATGATTTGAAAGTGATGGAGAAAAATGAAAGCTACGTTTTTTAGGTTAATAATTGCAGACCTGCCACTCGTCCCGATTTAGTCGGGATATCCCGATTTTTTTGCCCCAAATCTCAAGCATCGCGATTTTCCCGATTTCGATCGCGTATATCCCGATTTTTTGTCCCAGTCTGCTGTTGTGCCGGATTTTTCTAAAAACTTACCCTTGTCCTCTCCTTTATCGTGGGAAGCATCCGTTGAACTCTTTGTCAGTAGGAACTCCTTTAGAAGTTGACTCGCCCCAAGATGTGTGTGATCTTTGCCCGCGCTCAGAATTCTCCAATGATAGCCTGGTATCTGTTACAATTTGGGACAAATAATCGATAATATTCATAGTTTCACTGTTACTTTCAAAACAAGCCTTGTCCGAGGTCTGGTAACTGCGCGTTCACATCAAACACTCGGACGAGCGACAGTCTTTCTAACTCTTACATATAACTGCGCTGACAAGACTAACATACGGCCGTTGTCGTTGCTTTAGTCTGAACGCATTATGAGGGATAAGGGATTTGTTGGTACATTTGGTCGGTTGGCCGCCGCCGTTATCCTAGAAGTAGAACGACTGTCGCTCATCTGAGTGTTTTGTGTGAACGTGCAGTTAGTTGGACCCGTCAGTAAAATTGTTTCAATCGCGCATTCGCGTCTCGTGACATGACATCGCCGTGTGAGTTATGCGTGTCGGGGACCGTACGTAGACGGGGTCAACTTAAGTTCATGTATTTCGGGACTTATTGGTAGGGGTGGGGGGGGGGTATAGACACTCGGTCTAGGAGTGCTTGACGCGATGCTTCAGGATATTAAAAAAAAATAATGATGACTCGCGCGCGCGCACACACGCAAACAAAGACACACAGAAGGCATATAGGCCTAGAAATTTATGGACACCCCTGGAAAAATTGTAAGTCAGCTTTCGCAGCCACCTTGGTGATTTGCTGTTGATCCCGATTTTTTTCACCAAATCCCGATTTTTTATCCCTGAGATCCTGATTTTGAGGTTTCATAGAGTGGCAGGTCTGTAATTGGGTTTGTGTTCAGTATGACACATGATGAAAACATTTCCTGGCTCAGGAAACATAATGGATGAAGAAAGAAGTGGGTGATTCTTATATGATCTCTATGAAATCTTATATTGTTGTATCTTTGGTGGGAGACAGGTCAGAGGCAACCTCATGTGGCCTCGTCCAGAGTACATCCGGGCCCGGTCTTGCGTTGTTCTGTAACAATATGCTACATTGAAGCATTGCATGAATTTATTTTTGTCCTTTTTGTGTATTTATGTTCGAAGTTTTGATAGCTTACTCGTCAGAGATTAATATAATTCTGTAATTACATAATAATGAAAGTATTTATTTTCTGGATTCAGGAGGAAGATGAAGAGGAAGCCGCCCCAAAACGTGAAAAGATGAGTTTCACTGTGAAGCTTACTAAATTTGATGCTGGCAAAAAAGTGGCACTCATCAAAGAAATCAAAAGTGTGGTTGAAGGCCTCAATTTAGTGCAGGTATGTGGATTCTGATGCTGTCATGGGTGTTATTTTTCAGGGCTGACTCTGAATTCCGAGTTGGCGAGATTAACTGCGTCGAATTTTCTAGTTGAGGCCGACAAACTGCCTGATCATCGGGTGTGAAATTGTCTTGTCCGTAGTTTCTACGCAAATGTGCTCTTGACTACAGAGCTATGGAAGAACCATAGGTTCTACGGAAAGTGCTGAAGAGAAAGGGCGAAATTATGATAAAATCATGTTTTTTTAAAAAGGATCCATTTTTGCAACATGCATAGTATTGAAGCAACTTTCATTGAGTTCACTGAAGTTCACTGTCACCATTCATTCATTGCGCCGGATCCTCCTCGCCCCAGCGTGGTGTGTATCGAGACGCAGCTCGTGACATCAGTTGACCGGCACTTCACAGTGAAGGCGAAGGGGCGCAGGAGGGAGATGTGTGCTCCTAGCTGGGTAATAACTTAGACGCTCAGAGTAAGAATGTATAGGTAGTAACGGTGCTGTTTGTGTTCTCCGGTTAGGCCGAGAGAGTGGAGCAAGGGCGCTCAGCGCAGAATTACAGTATGTATAGTGGATCTCTCTCTCTCTCTCTTTCTCTCTCTCTCTCTCTCTCTCTCTCCCTCCCTCCCTCTCTCTCTCTCTCTCTCTCTCTCTCTCTCTCTGCAATGATTTGGAAGATTCATTGATTTGCCATTTGGATGATTAGTACTAGTACACCATAAGTCAAACTCCACCCCGTGGCCGTACTATTGCCGTTCCTGACCTGAGGTCACTATATTATCACCCATTGCAGCACTCCTTTTACTAATTGAGGAAAACAGTTTCATTGGAACAACTATTCCAGATATCCTGCAATCAAGATCTTTGATACAGATAGCAATAAGCCTATGTCTTGGGGTTGGAGGGAAATCTGCATATGTTTGTTCTTTCACGTGCCACTTTCAAATCCACAGCTTGATTGTATGATAGTAAAACTGTAGCTCGAGTGTTTTCTGGTACATGTAGATCTTCTTTTGTTTTTCTTTCATCTAAAAAAATGTGTTGGTCTATAATTTATGTACATTTTTCTGTGAATCTAAAAAAAATTCTGTTTTTGGTGTTAAGATATTTGTAGCCAGGTAAGTGTTGCTCAAGTTTCTAAGTATTATAAAAAGCATTTTGTTGCTTGATTTGTGATGGTTTTGATTTCTGGTATATACAGGGGAACTCGGATTCAACGGGAACTCGGGTTCAAAGTGAGGAGGTGGATTTCCCGGTTTTTTTCAAATTGTTAAAAATCAATAAAAATAACCCGGATTCAACGAGCATTTAAATCAGCAAGCTCGGATTCAACGAGCATTTAAATCAGCAAGCTCGGATTCAACGAGTTCGCTTCCAGGGTGAACAGCCCCACGCAGACGTGGCTCGTTCATTTTTCTCCTACAACCAACTTTATTTATTCCCAGAAACCATCCATTGCACCTGCACCGTGAACCATTATTCACTATGCCGATAGCATGCAACCAGTCAGCAGCCTTCTTTCATACCAACACATGCGTTGTTAACGCGCGTCTGTCGGGTCAAATGGGCGCCTGCACACTTGCGACTGTGTGTGCCTGTCGGGGGGCACCATCGGTCCGGGCGTGGAATGTTGCAGATACAAACGCGTCAGTCTTTTTTACCCTCCAGCAACTGATCATTATTACAATGATAAGCTAGTCTTGGCGTAGATCTACGTAATGGATTGTGCGCTGGTCTATGGAATCTAAAGTTACCGTATGCTAGGCTAGGCTCTACACAGCAGCACAACTTTTTGGCAAACAATGGAGATGACACAAGCGTGCATTTGAACGAATCGGTCTTTCTTTTTGCACGGCTCATAATATGTAGGCATTTCAGGCCCCACTTGTTACTTCTCTTTATACATTGCTTGCTCAGTTCCTGTAATTATCAACACAAAACCTCATGCTTGCTATAGCGAATACTCTGATTCAATGAGATGTTAGGTCAGGCCCAGCGACTTCATTAAATCCGAGTTCCACTGTACCATAGCTACCACTTTCCCGCTAAATAGCGGAAACTCCGCTTCATCTAGCTTTTCCCGCTACTTTCCTCCTTCCTCCGCTGGACCGCTCTCGGTCGCAAATTGCGATACTTTTTTACACGCGGAAAACACCAAACCGGGAGAGAGACAAAAACGCAGCTTGCGCATGTCCACCCAAAGCTTTCTACTTCCGTTCTTCTAGGCCTAGCGTTAGTTTCACTTTGTTTATTGTGGAGCAACAAAGTGTCGATTGGGCATTGGGACGTTAGCGCGCCGAGTTGTCATTGAAAACAGCGGAAATTCGAGAGAAATTGATGCAGAATGCAAAAATAAAAGGAGCTCCGCTTGCTGCACTTTGCATTTGGTGCGATAAAGAAATCGCGGCCCGCGGCACTCCTGTACAATTGCGGTCCCGTTTGTTTACATGATGGCTATTGTGGCTGTTGAAGTGAATCTAGATATCTAGATAATCTATCTCTAGATATAATCTAGATTTACACATATTTAGATATCTAGATTCTAGATCTAGATTAGATAGCCTAGGCTATAATTTTAATTCAGGTTAGATCAACACTCTACAGAGGGACTACTAAGTTAAGTGCAAACAGGACCGCAATTGTACAGGAGTGCTCAGTACAGCGGCAAAGGTGTTGCCTCCTTGATCCAATACTGCGCACGCTCTACATCGATGTACAAGTTTAAAGTGAAAGAAATCTTTTTATAAGACACCAGCTTGCAACAAACACTGGATTTTTAGTCACCAAGTCCAAACTGTCAAATTGACTCAAATGCTTGTTAGTCTACTCAGTGCCTTTGTTGGTTTTTGTTTTTTGTTGTTGTTTTTTTTCAAATACATTTAAATTCAGTTGCCTATGGTTAACAAATATGACAGTTTTCCCTTCCAAAACCATAGGCTAGATTTTCCAGTATATTGCCTCTGGATCTCACTGGTTTTACTCCGGCTTTCGGAGAGCGCGCGTCCGCCTTCGCATGAATTTCCTCCTTTTTTGAAATTCCTCAGTGGCAGCTATGTGTACTTATAGTAGGCATATATACATTTTTGGGTCTTTTCATGGGAATTGTGAACTTCTCATTTGATTTTTAAAGCGTGCAGTTTTCCATTTTTGTACCAGGAAATGGTGTGTTTTTTCTTTTACCAAAAAAGGGTAAAAAATCGTTTTCAGAGAGGGGGGCTTTGATCCCTTAGTCCCCCCAGCAGGGCGTTGCCCCTGCACCTTAATGGGGCCTTAATGGCCCCTGGACCCCTGCCTTTTGGGTGACATTTCAGTGTTTGGACAATAGGTAACACTGATTTCAGGCGCAGCAAAATTTCCCAGTGACAACCATGGATTTTGTTGATTGCTTTTTAAAAAAGACAAGAAGAATGGCTGTGTCACTGCTTTCAAAATTTACAGCAAGTCATTCTCCAGGTTCATTTTTCATGGGGTGGCCCAATACTTCATCTAGCAAATAAAACATTCAATATTGTTTGGCACAAATAATTATAATGGGACCAGGGCCCAGTGAAACATTGTTTTTGACCTTTTCCCTCTTCCCATTTCTGCCACGCAAATTCGTTTTATCAAGTGAATGTTTGCTTGTAAGGTTGTTTTAGATGCAGGGCCCTTTATTTGCAATCCATCTCTGATACAACTGAGCCTGGTGGGTGGAAAGACTTGAAAATTCCCATAACAGTGGATGTTGAAGAATTCCCCCTTTTGAGATTTCAACCGGGGCCATCTTCACCATAACCGAAAAGGATGCGAACTGAGTTAACAGCGTCGCCACTTTAGAGTGTATAAATGTGAACTATATCGTGTGACGATGTGGTGCAAAGGTGAAAACAGTTGTTCATCAAAATATGAAATACAATATAGCACAGATAGCTCGAAGTCGTGGGGACCAGCCTCGGTAGTTCAAGGGATCCGTAGTTTGAGGGATACGTGAACAGTGTTATTATATGGCATAGGCTGTGTCAGAGAATCAAGGGGGGCTCTCGTGGCCTAGAGGTTAAGGTGTTCGCCTCTCATTCAAAGGTCCCGGGTTCGAATCCAGGTAGTGACCGAAAAATTTTCTTCTCGAAAATTGTCTCCTTTCACCTCCTTTCCTGCTCTCTAGCAATGTTCTGTTGTCTGCTTTCATTTCCACTTTCTGCCCACACCCCCTCACCTCCTTTGCCCCCTCCTCTGGGCTCCTGACTCTTTCTGCAGCCTTTCTACTGCTACTCCTTGGCTCCTCCTTACTGCTGTCTTTCTGCCACACCCCTGATCTTCTGGTAGGAAAGATCTACACCTAGCCTTCTCGGACAAGGGCGAAAAATCTCGGAGGGCCCGTGTGCAAGTTGCGCACATTAAAGATCCCTCTGTGGTCTAAAATCGATAAGAGTAGGCTTCGGCCGCCACCTGGGCAAAATTCAAAATATTCTACCAACTGAAAATATGAGGTGTGTCCCGCGCGCTCATATGACCTTATGCAGTTGCGAGTGCCGTAAAACACTCTACAAAAACAAACAAACAAAGAGAATCAAGGGAAGCAACAAAGATTGCTACTTTAGGGGCAAAACAATAAATCGTGTGCTGCACAACCCTTCCTCTCGTCCGCTCCACAAAAGCAGGCTAGGCTCCTGTGTCAAGCAGCATGCTAAAAATAGCACAGCTAGGTGCTTCTCTTGAGGGGGAAGTTGGTATTTTACTGACCTTGCCTTTTTCTTTTTTTTTTTTTTTTTTTCTTCTTTTTTTTTCCCCTCAAGTGCACCTCAAAGGACATTGACTTCAGACCTCTACGGCAGCATAATTAGTTCAAGTATTCTGTGTTTAGATTCGAGCTTCACGTGATTTTCTAACAGAGATAAAGAAGGAGAAGAAAAAACGGGACTGCAGGCACAGTTTGACGGATGCGGGATTTCGATTCTTCTGTGTTCGACCTATCCGTGTTATTATACTGTAGAAGAAAGCAACATTTTTCTGCCTGTGGGGCAATTTTTATAGAACTTTTTTTTTAAGCTCGGCACTTTTTATGTCCACTTAAATACACATTTCTGTGTGGATTTAAATTTAACATAAAAACATATATCAAAGGCACAAAAAATCAAAATTTACAGTTTCCAAGCATGCTCAAGCTTTGGAAGTCTCCAGACTTTGGCAGCCATTATCTGACATATTTGATCTCTGACACCTCCTTCAATCGCAAATATATCTCGACTTTCGTTAAAAAACAATGGGTAATTTTTCATCAAACTCAAGACAAATGAATTGGCTTTAAGATTGCAATAATTATGCCCAAAAATTTAGGAGCGCCTGATTCCAGTGTCATTGCACATTTCATATCTAGCTGATCTCTCTGTTGGCTGTGGAATGAGGGACTTGTGTCTATCCTTGATAAAAATGTCTGCTTGTATTTTAGACATACAGCATAACACAAATAGGTTGAAGTCGAACACAGAAGACTCGAAATCGCACATCCGTCGCACTGTGCATGGGGTCCCGTTTTTTTTTTTCCTCTTTTATCTTTGTAAGATATCCCTCGATCTATCGAGGCCAGTCCCGGCGAATTCGAGCTATCCGTGTTATACAGTATAAGATTTTGCCAGCCCAAGTTTGTTTAGTGTAAGTGTAAGTCTTTTCTTGATCTGAACAAAATCCCCATCCCCTGACCAAATTATCTTGAGTGTTTCTTGACTTTATCATACAATAATGGAAATTAACACACTGTGCTAAAATATTTTTTAAGCCTTATTTTGATACTTGTGTCATATTATTATTAATGTGCAAGTCTTTGCCTACTTCAAATTCTTTTATAAATGCTACTTCATACTCAACTTTACCTCCGAACCTAGAGAAAAAAAAGAATTCATTTTCTCACACCTGCATAGTGTTTCAATACTCAGGAGTGAAAGGTCAGCTTGCATCATCATCATTAAAAATATATTCACTTCCTCTTGGTTAGATAAATTACATTCATTTGTGGATTCTTAGGAGAAGTTTATGTCATTAAAAAATATTTCTCTTGTTTTGAGCTTTTTGTCTCCTCTTTTTTGCTGTTGTATGTTCCTACACAGGATAGGCCTATTTCTGGCATAGATCTAATTGGATTGGAGTTTTCTCTCTATTGTTGTGCTTTATATTAGAGCCTGGGGTTTGAAACTTGAAACAGACTGTTTTTATTGGTGTGCTCAGAACATGGCCTCCCAATCTTTCTATTCTTATACTTACACCTGTTTTCTTTGAAGTGTCATGTTAGAACAAAGTCAAACAGTTTAGAGCACCCATAACAAATTGGCTCAACACATAAATTTTTGTTGTTATATATCCATATTTTAAATACAAAGACACATAGATCTATATATAATGACAAATTTTGGAAACGAAAATCCGTTTACTGTGTGCATGTTTCGCTTTATTACATGAACATGTTCACTATGTGCTTGTTAGACTGTAGTTATGCACTTGACTGACCTTCAGAAAGTGGATGTTCAACGTCTTGTCAGCTATTTATGTATTTTTTTGGCCCGATGCCTTTGTGAGGAGGGGGGGGGATCAAGTTGTGTACTCCACCTTCATGATTACCTATTGGCTAGCAGCATTGTGTGTAAAAAAATTTAGAAATACAACAAAAATGGAGAAGAGACAATATATGACTCGGTTCGTGTTACCGGGCTTCCGCTCAAGGTTTTTCTTATTTTGCCATCTCAAAGATTTGGATGTTTTCTTTCTCTATTGTCTACCAGGCCAAAAAGTTTGTGGAATCAGTTCCCCAAGTTGTCAGGGCTGACATTCCCAAGGAGGAAGCAGAGAAGTTGAAAGAGGCCCTCACAGCAGTTGGAGCTGAAGTAGAAATTGAATAAACTTTACTTGTGATATGTTTTTAAAAGTTATTTTAGTCATTTGTCTGTTTTTTTGTTTATGTTCATCATTACGAATTATATGCATTTCATAGACTACCAGAATGAATGAGCCCAACAATAAAAAGGCTTTCCATTTCCCACATATGAGGATTTTCTTTCTTTTGTACAATGTTGTTTTTAGACGACAAGAAAAGACTGGTGGATTACTTGTTGTGATTAAATGTGTTAAAAGTAGACAATACCATAATATGATTAGGTCATGCAATAACTTACAGAAAAAAACATGTATTTATTTTAATGCTTTCATTTTCATATTAGTGGAATCTGCGGTGTAGTGGTGAGTATTAGTAGATATATTTCTTTCGCAAGCAGAAGACACAAGTTTGATTCTCTCCTGGGTAGAATGTTTTTCAGCCCAGATTGGCACCAACAAGCAGAGTTGATGAAGCTTGTCTCCTAAATGATCTGAATTTTGTCAATGGGGGGCGTAAAAACAGCCAGTTTTGTTCACATTCTTCACTAACAATGATGGCCCATTTGTTGAACTTCCTGTGCACTCAGTAACTTCCTGGTGTTCATATATATTCTTTTACATGTCGTGGACATAAAAGTGAATTTGACTGTTGATGCAAGCTCGGACACATTTTTCCTTCTCATGATTGAAAACAAGACTACAGTTAAATAGATAAGTGATCTATTTTTTATCATAGCCAAGCATAACCCTGAAGAAATCTTGTGGGATAAACAAGTGGCCATGGAGTTAATAAACAGTAAACAGGGAGTGGTTAATTAAAGAAGAAATGTTGTTATATAAGCTTGTTCACTTTTGTCTGTCTGCGTTTAAAAAGTTCTACTAGCTCATACTCATATATATATATATATATATGTGAATTTGCCAACATGCGCATAACTTTGTACAGATATGGCATGCCTGTAGGTTAGCAACCGAACAAAAGTTTTTAAAAAATCAATCTTCCACTTCCAGAAATAAGTTTCTTTATCAAATTATGCTTATAATAGTGCAATAAATTATTGCAGTAACACAGCCTACAAATTACTCATTTTGAGACAGCGACACCGCACTGCCCCACATTTCAGTTTCAGTGTAAGTAAGTGCATAGGGTTTTTTTTCTCCTCTCAAGACCGCCTAGATGCCTCGTCTTCACTTGTATCTAAAAAAAATACTCATCCCTATGTTGGACCTTGTTCCATAGAGGTATTCGCCATAAAGTGTAGAGTTGACAAAAATAGGGCACCTTTTTGCTATGTTTTAGTGTTTGTGTTGTAAATCCCTGTTATTTTTTCGACCCACTTAGACTAGCATCAAAGAAATTGTCGGACCCTTAGTTTCCTGTGGCCTTCATCAGTGGCCTTTTAGTTTTACTCTTTAGAGTCTGTTGGTCAAACGACTTTTAGAATTACACTTACAAGCAAAGACCCAAGAAGATTAAACAGAGCGATTTGTTTTTATCTCTTTTGAACTGTCTGCAGACAGAAGTAAACAAACTATAGCCATGCAGAGGGTTGACTGAAGGACTTGATGAATTCTGTATGGTGCTATCTCGGTAGTGAGATGTTGAAGGTTTGATTCAAGAGACATCTGTTTGACGACAGATTTTATTACGCTGTGTTGTAAGTATTAGTTTTTTTTAGTTAACAGCTTTATTGCAACACAATTATTAGGCCCTATAAGTGCCGGTGATTAAACTCTTATAAAGAGGTGTTACTGGACAGAAACAGAAAAGGAGGAGAGACAAGTACGATAATGTAGATGTTAAACAGGAAAGAAAGAGCAAACCACACCAGAGCACCTGCCGACCATCCAATAACACTTTCACTTTCATGCTTGTGTCCATGATGTGCTCTACTCTGCTTCAGGAAGGAAGACTCGTGACTGATTGATATGTTTGTCGTTTTGTGTTGACCTGTTACTCGGAGAGTCGAGTGTCCTGTCAGTGATGAATTTATGACTACATGTACAAGAATTTGATCAAGTAATTTTTATAACTTTTGTGTATGTGAGGCAACAGTAGGGACTACAGTGAATAAACTCACTGGTGTGTTGTAGCGGTTAAGTGCTTTACTGTTGCACGCAGATCCTAGTGGAGAGAACATTTTTATCGAGAATTCCGATCTTTCTGCTGGAATGTTGTACTGTATACTGTATCCCTCTCAGTACTCCCAGCCCAGGCTGGCCCTGACAGGCAGGGTCGGAAGCCCACCTTCTTCTTCTTCTTCCAGCTGCAGGCTGACAGGTAGAATCTATATAAGTAGGCTATAAGGAGGTAACTTCGAATGGCTCCAGAGTACATCCGGGCCCAGTCTCGCATTATTCTCCTTAAGTGGGCCTCGATGTGCATCCTGGAAGCCCACCTCCTAAATTATCTTTATTGCGTCGATGGGGCCGTAAAAACAGCTACATGCATTTTTGAAAAAAAAAGACCAGGGAGTCTCCTGCAAAAAACATCATCTTCCCAGGGGTAGCAGGCAGATGATACTTCAACTGCAATAAAGAAAACTTTTCTTCCGCTGATATTAATACAGAAAAATAAATTCGGGAAGTGGGGGTAAATCACTAATTTGACAAACATTTACATCGTGTATACATTTATTCGATTTTATTTGTGAGACAATGGCGACATGTGAATGTGATGACGACTATCACTATCAGGCATAAAAAAAATAGAATGGATACAACTACAAGAAGTTCAAAGTGAAGTCTGATGAGTGGATGCTGGTGCAGAACTTTGTCCTACATGATGATCATCAACTTTTTTCTTTCCACATCCATTTCTACTTTTGAAATTCTCTGGTTGAATGTAATTTAGTAACATTTGTGTGCAGTAAGCCTACTTTGTGAAATTTTAGAGGATAAAATGTCCTAGGAAAACACAAGTTGAAGTAGGCGATAATGAAGGTACTACTAGACCATCTGACTAAAGGTGCTCTGTGTATTATCGAATCCCTCACTTGGGATAGGAACAAATGTATTGCATATGTCGATAGAACTTAGATTCAACAAAAGGAAACAGATTCCCTATGTTTTAAATTAATTAAAATCAACAAAATAACTTGGACTCAAAAAACATGTAAATGAACGAGACCATCTAATCTATAGTCTATAGTCATGTACTTGCACTGAGGATCATACATGCATGCTTAGTGTAGCCTATTGCGTACATCTTATGCGTCCGGTCAGAAGCCTTCTTTCATACCAACCTGTGCGTTGTTGACATGCGCGCAAGACATGACTTACATTTAACTGTCCCCGTAGAATTATGCAAATTCAGATGGCCAAATTATGCAAAAATTATGCTAGTTACCGTAACACCATTCGCGACATGTTTTGCACTTTTTCAACACGAATTTTCATGATTTTCATGTTTTAAGTACAGAAAAATTTAAAACAGAACATATCAGTATCAGTAATTTGTTGTGTATTTGGAAAGAAAACAATACACTTCAGTAAGAAAAAAAAACAACCAAAAAATATAATCTCTGTAACTTTCAGCTGTAGATCTAGATCTAGATCTAGATTTAGATCTATAAAAAAGGAAAGAAAAATGAAAAAAAAAGAAGAAAAGGACATCAGGACCTCTGATGCTGGCACATTACTAAAACCAGGGACACCTGTCAAACATGAAACATCAGCAGACATGAGAACAACAACTTTTGATGGATTGAAAAATTGAACATGCTCAAGGAATAAAATCCCAACCCATAACCAAGATCTTCTAACAAGGGAAATAACCAACTTTTCACTTAAATGAGACTTATTACGGTGATTATTTCCCTTTAGTCACATGGCGAGGCGTTAATTGTTTTGTGAAAAAAGGGGAAAAACGTAAAAACGTGGGGAATCCAAAATTATGCAAATGTTGAAAAATTATGTGAAAAAACGCGGCCGCACAATCGCATAAATCTACGGAGACAGATTTAATCACATGTTTTAGTGTGTGCCATGGAATTTGAGGTAGACATATGGCTGGTGAGATGGGTAGCAGTAGCCCTGGTGGAGAGAAAAATGGCCCTGAGACAGGGTGAATGGACTTCAGATCCGGTATCAATTGCTCCAGGACTGCTCCAAGGATCCCCCCCTCTCTCCTGTGCTTTTCAATGTGTACACTGCACAGGTAACGATGCATCAGAAAGAATCTGGACGTGTCCTGAGCTTTGCGGATGACATAATGGCATACGAGCACGGAGATGACAGACTTCAGATGGCAAGGAACATGGAGAAAAGACTTCACTCAGTTGTAAAATGGTGCGACCAAAATGAAGCAGTCATCAATCCTTCAAAGGCGCAGGTACTTTGGTGTTCCCTCAACAACAGGATTGTCCAAGACATAACTCCACCAATCACTTGCAACTATGAGATTATCGACAGACAGTCAGAGCTAAAGTATCTGGGAATCGTCTTCGACAGGTCGTTGTCCTTCAACAAGCATGTGAATCATGTGGTAACAAAGGCTAAACGAGGTGTTGGTGCAATCAAGACCATGGCGGCCGCTCTGATTCCGCAAAGAGTGCTCTTCCTGATGTTGCAGCTGGTCGCCCTGTCTGTCATTGATTACGGATTGGGCTGTCTCACGCTGTCCGACACACAGATCGCAAAGCTGGATCGAGTGCAGAATGAGGCAATGAGAGCAGTGCTGGGCTGCACCAAAGACACTCCAATATTGTGCATGCGCTACTTGCTAGGTTTAAGTGGCATCAGAGTACGCCATAGGATAGCTCAGGCAAAGATGTATCTCAGTGTAATGGGCAAGAAGGATCATCCACTTCACAAAGCACTTCATGACAACAGGAGAGTCAGAATCAAGAGAGGAAAATCTTGGATGGCGGAAGCAGAGGATTCCCTGAGAACAATCTGTGTACCTGAGAGCCTACTACTAGGCGAAGAATGGGAGCAGGTGGCCGGAGAATACAGGGACCTCACCAAGGTCAAAATAAGCATGGGCAGAGACAGAAGAAATGTTGCGACTGCCATCAACGCAACGAGAGCGATATCAACGAGATTGTTGACACAAACTCAAAAGCAGGGGATCCTATAATTTATACAGATGGTTCAGTGAAAAGAGATAGCCAGAGAAGTGGATGGGGATTTGTTGCATTTGCCAACAATAAAATCATACACAGTGCATCTGGAGCCTGCAGCAGGGCTACATCAAGTACCGGTATGCGAATGGAAATTGAAGCCATCACGAAAGCACTTGATTGGATGACCCAAGATCGCCCCCACACAACCCATGCTGTTCTTATCGCTGATTCCATGTGTACCCTCAGAAGGATCGAAAAAGGTTTCCTGAGAACGGAATGGATTCAAGCTATCGAACCAACGCCTATACGATCGCTCAAATGGATTTTCTGCCCTGGCCATGCAGGTGTTAGGGGAAATGAAAAAGCCGACAGATTGGCTGGTGAGGCCACCTTAGTTGACAATACGGTTCAACCAGATAGGGTCGAGATCCTGAAATGTCTTTCTCGCCAACTGATTGAGGAGGAAGATAGGGAGGCAGAGGCCAGTACTGCCGTGGAGAGGATGATGCTTTTGGAAATAAAAAAAGGAAGCCGAAAATCTGGCATCCTTGCAGGAAAGAACAGAAGGACGTTCAACCAGATGTGCACTAGCACAATCAGTAGAAGGACCCTCGGCAACATTTTGGAGAGAGCAACGGAGCATCAATGGACATGTCCGGAGTGCAGGGATGTTGCTTCCTGAAACAAGAAACAAGAACAAGTGTGTGCCAGGGTCGAGAGAGGTTGATGGATGCCTGTTAGTACGAATGTCTGAGGGGATTTGAGGGGGGGGGGGGGGGGGCAGTGTTTCGGGTATGAAATTTGGCAGAGATACAGACACGTCACAAATCCACCCCCTTCCCCTGGCTACCGGACAATGAAAGACTAGTCTAGACATAGATGTAAATTTACATATGATAATGAATTGTGCACTGGTCTGTAGAAATGGACGTCGCCGAAAGCCAAGCCCTACATTGTGATGCAACTTGTCGTCACATTGCTTAGATTGCTATGACATAACGAACGCTTGGATTCAACTAAATCGAAGGTCAGGCCCGACGAATTCATTATACACATGTATCTGAGTTTCACTGAACAGTAATGATCTCTTAAGTAGTAAGTAGCTAGATCTGGCATGGAATTCTTTCTGTATGGGTCCCAAACTTTTCAACGAAGTCTTTAAATTTCTCCTTGCATAAATATTAGAAAAGCCAATTACTTTGCTTGGGACATCTCTGTTTTGCAGCATAAAATATAACCAAGTGCCATTTTGTAATTGTGTTCGACCCTCTCTACTCTCTGGTTCTTTGTCTTCTCACATAGTATAGGCAGATATGACTTCTCATCTCAGATTTTTTTCCAATCTCCTTGAGCAGTCTATTCAAGTCAGTTGTAGAGATCTTAATGTTTTTGTTTTGTATGGTGCGGTGATGATGTTGCAGTTGGTAAGTGTTCCTTCTTTCTTTGTCTGCTTCACATCTCCACTGAGGATTTGATTGTGTAGTGTTATGTGGAGATTTCTCCATGATCGAAGATGTCAACAAGCCTTTATCCTATCTCCATAATGGCAAATCAGCTCTGGGAAAAAGTAAGATGTAAGATAGGCACTAGGCACACTGATACAGTGGGAAAGAAGAGTAAGGATCCACAAAAATATTAGCATCGTCCAGCCACCCGCTGACAAGAAATTCAGTACATGTCATGTACAGTAGTTACAGTACCTGTCTCTATAAAACAATACAGTAGTCTCTGTCTAAGATCCCGGTGTTCGGGAGCAAGGAAATGCAGGATCTTAGGCGAACCGGGATCTTAACCGATGAACCCAGCAGGGAAGAATCTATGGTGATCCATGCTAAGGCTCACAATCGGTAAAATGGTCTCCCTCCACTCTAAAATGAACTGACGTGACCACTTGATGGGTTTATGACGTATGGCGAGCAAAGAATGGTTAACCTTGATGACCTATCACAGTGCATAGTGGGATGAGGTGTGCCATTTTTACTTATTATCCTATTATGAGTCTCAAGATCTACGCTTATCCAGTTGCCCCTCCTCCTTACCTTCTATCTAAAATGTATAGCTTTCCATCTCTGACCGAGTCCCCCCCCCCCCCCCCGCCTTTGTCGTTACACACCATTACATTGTCAACACACTAATTAAAATTCAGTCTGTCTCGCAAATTCGGGAGTAGAGACAACTTCTGCAAGCAATAGTCAGGGAAGAGTTCACAGTTCAATGTGATCCCGCCTGGAGCGAACGTGTAGGCCCTACCCACCCAGCATGTGATGTACGTTTAGGGGGAGAGCTCAGGTGTGAGTGCGATGTTCGGGGAAAACAAACGTGTCGGTTAGTTCACACCCCGGTGCGATCCCGTCTGGGGCAAACATTGTATCGCTTCATTGAGTTTTACAACATGTATGTGATCACATTCACGATAGTGGTTGATCTTTGACGCGATGGACTGTTTATTGATCTCAACTTTTCACTCTTGGTTGATCGGCTGTCCCGCCAGGGTTTTTTCCCTGCAAATTATGATCTGAAATGCGGGATCTTAGCCGGATGTAGACCTTCAGAGTGAATCAGAGCGGGACCTTAGGGGTGACTTTTGTGTAGTAAAAATTCTGTTTTCTTAAAGCAACCGGATCTTAAGTTAAGTGAACCAGGATCGTAAGCGGTGGGATCTTAGGCGGAGACTACTGTACATGCATGTACATGTAATATGATGTGTCAACAAGCTTTAATCCGATTTTCAGTAGAGGTTTTAATGGTGCTCGCAACTGCAAAAGGTCATAAGAGCACCAAGGGGTGGATGTCAACAGAGAATCAGACTTACTCTACTCATCTCTCTGTACTCAAGTCTGCCTAAATGACACAAAAAGACAAATTCCTCTGCATCTCAAAGATGGCAAAATAGTTTATTTGAATTTTTAATACATATGAACAAGGCATTAAGAAACAATAAATCACAATTACTGAGGCACACTCACTGACTCATCTTGCAGATAAAGTCTCTACATTGAACTGCTAAAGAGTAAAACTATACAAACACATTTACATCCTCCAACACAAATGAGAGTTCAAATAGTGCAATTGACCAGTTCGTGCTATTATGCTATCTGTCAGGGATATTTTCCTCTCCCAATGACTTCAAATAAATTGGGGTGGCCTGTTTTATGGCTCTCCTCTGAGCCTTTTTCAGCTTGGACACTCCGTGAGGGGCAAGAACATTCTGAGGAATATTCATCTGTGGAAGGCATAAAGAGTGCAAAGTAGAGATAGATCCAGCTCCCTGCAGAAAATTAGAAATGTTCAAATGACATAGAAAGCAAAAAGCACCGAAACAGAAAGGGTAATAGCATCGAACATTCATTAACTTTAAGTAAAACATGCGCATAGCAGACAGAATATTCATTCCCAAATTTTTTTCTGAGAAAAAGTACAGTCTAACATCCACAAAGTAAAATCCGAGGAGCACCGAAATCTTTTCGTTTTATGTTTAAATTTTGCTACGTGGTAGATAAAGTTGGACAACGGACGAAATTTTTCATGAATTATGCCCCCTATCTGTGCCACAACAAAATGCGAGTTGGTTTCAAAGTCATTAAAAAGTTGGGCTGATTTGGTGTTTTTTTTGGCATTGATATTTTATCCAACTCTCCCATGATCTGTTTTTTCTTGACCGAGAAGCCTTTCCTCTTCTTTTGCTCTGACATGGCTCACTCTCTATTACAACTTCACAGAGACCAAACTTTGCGGTAGGCCAGCAAGCTGTTACATAGAGTGTAATCTCTGTTGAAGAAGAGGAAATGCTCTGACATTTGTGAGTTATGGGTAGGCTATGTGTCTTTACATGGCGGAAAACTCCCCGCACACAACTGAAGCATGCTAGTATGCAGACTAAATTCACCACTGAACACTTCTGTGAATATGTACAATAAGAACATCCTTGGTCTACACTACTGATCTCGGCTTACTTACAGAGAGGTTGTTGGCCTGCACTCATACTGTGTGCTCTCTCTCTCTCACACACATTACAGCTAGTTCGGTAAATAAAATTTGTGGTCATGTTTAATAAGATTTACCCTTGCCGACGACAAATGGTTTTTTTTGGTGCTGTGTATGAATTATTTTCTCTAAGTGAGCATTTTGAATACAAAAAAATTATGAAAGAAAAAATTTGAGATATGAAAATCCCTTCCCTATGAGCATTTTTCACTATGTTCATGTTCGCTATGAGTGTGCTAGCCTTTCTTCGTATATTTAATTTTTTGATAGCTAATGAAATTCGTACATAATGAAAAGATTTCCGCATCCTACCGATATTGCTATGTGCATGCCAGACTGCAGAAACTTAAAAGTCCAGCTATACTCAATTCCTATGGGGAGTGCACTTGTAAGTTGTAAGTGTAACAGTACTTATTTGTGGGAAAGGAAAGAAATATACTTTAAAGATAAGTTCACACATAGGTGTAAGACCCACACCTGTTTTAATTCATGGGTACACAGGGTGGTTTCAGTTCAATCCGTTTTTTACTTTGGTTAACTCCACTATACCACCAGAATTGATTTATACATTAAGCAAAACTACAGATGCATGAGTAGTTCCAGTAATCCTTGTAAAAATAACAGTACCCCCAAAAATTTTGTTTCTCTTCCTGGCTGGAGGACACAAAGGGCATGTAACTACTTTTTTCCTGTCCTCATTCTTTCTTATTTCTGCAAGTCAGTTTTTCTCTCTAGAAAACAAAATAATGTCCAATATATATACTATGACCTTATATTTTCAGCACAAAGAAGCCCCAATTACATGTAGTTGAATTAGACACTAACTGTAATGTAAAAGGTGATGAAAGCAAATAGGTGTATCCCGGGGTGTACCAAGCGAAATAGCAGTTTTACTAGGATAGGTGGACTTCCGGCCTATAAAATTAAGCTGCCTGACATCGTCATGCGTTAATTAAAAAAGAAAGAAAAAATATGGTGGACAGACTCGATTTAACATTATTTAAAGTATTCAAATCATCATACTTTTTATTTTTTTTTTAAAGTGATTTGTTTTTGTTTTTTTTGTAAATCCCCCCATATTTCATATTTGACTGAATCTGGAGTAACACAGGCACCTGGCAACGCTGAATGTCTTTACATTTTGAGAAGGATGACAGATTCGAATGGCATGGTTATGTCGATAGGCTAGTCCTAACTTATCTACATTAGATCATTATATGTAGCAGTTTGTTTTTTTCTTTTCTTTTTTTTTGGAAGTAGATTTCTAGAACTAACCTTGATTCGCAAGATCGAGATTCTACTGATCTTTTATTTAGTCAAGGGGATTCTTTCAAAACGTTTAAGGAAAATGGACGAGTGATTCTGAATGAAAAGTGGATAAAGGGTAGGAGTTGTGTGTGTGTGGGGCGGAGAGGTGTATGTTTGTGTGCGTGTGTGTAGTGTGAGAAAGAGAGATAGAGAGAGAGAGTAATAGTGTGTATGTATGTGTCTGTGAGTTTATGAGTTATGTGTGCAAGTGCATGAATGTTATACATGTGTGCATGAGTGTGTGTGAGTGTATTTATGTGTGTGCATGTAAGTATGTGACATGTGTATAATATATATGTGTATGTGTGTGGAGTGCCACAACAGAGCTCTTAAGACTGTCGATTCCTCAAAGCTGGGTCGGGCTGACTTCACCATTCAGACCTGTGAACAGTCTTTTGCGAGAAGAAGAGTGCTCCCTCTTAATTTAACTACCAAGGTGTAGAGGCCACAATTTCTGGCAGCTGGGCCTCTCTTGGTAGCGACGAATAAAATTCTTTTGCCTCATGCTTACAAGGCACTAAAGTCACACCTTGACTTATTACACAGGAAAATAACAGTTTGTGAAACTGATGAATTAGACTAAATAAATGCAGACAATGTTGTTACCAGTGAACACCCTACCATTGATGAAAAATGTGAATGTGCCCATTTCAAAGACTAGGAGCTTCCTTGCTGGCACATTTTAGTTTTTGAGAGATTTTAAGTTTACAAGCACACTCTCATGAATGCTTTGGAGATCGATGTGGAACCACTGCCATCATCATTTGGTGCAATTGTCATCATTCTAAACCATGCAAGCAAGAAGACTGATCTGCATAAAAGACATAATATGCTATTGGAACTTTCACGGGAACTGGTTTCTGTAGGGGTGATGTATGGACAGGATGATTTTGATAGAAGAGTGGAGACTTTTCTAAACAAAGTGACTGGGTTATGGAGAGATGGAAAGGAAATCAGCACTGCCTCTTTACAATCAGTTAATCCAGCCTCTGTAAATCCTGCTCCTCTTACCAACTGCCCCACCTTTGCCCGCTGTTCATTTTTTGCATTTCATACAATGATCACATCACAAATGAGGAAGTGTGCAGTAGAGTGAAACAACATATGAGCCACTATTTAGACTTGCTGTTTACTGTGAAGCGAAGAAAACTGAACTGGTTTAGTCACATAACAAGATCGTGTGGCCCGTGCAAGACCATTCTTCAGGGAACTGTGCAGGGGAAGAGAAGGAAAGGAAGGCAAAGGAAGACATAGACCGACAACATTGCGGAGTGGACAGGGAAAACTTTTGCCCAAACTCAGGTTCTCGCAAAAAAAAAAGGTGAAAAATGGAGGCACCTGACGAGAATCTCTATCAGACAGCGCCCCTATGATCCTTGTGGATTATGGGATCAGTAAGCAGTATGTAAGCATCTTATACCAGCTGCCACTACTACTATCCTAAAATATTTCACTACACTGACTCCAGCCCAAGGTCCACCTATCATAAAAACTAGTAGGCCTATTCTGTAAGCTACACCCCGGGTGTACCTATCCTCTACCAAAGATGATGAGTCATTGAAACCAGCATTTTTTCCCTCTCAAAAGCTGAACAGCAAATGGTTCAAAAGATAGCATATTTGGGGGGGG